GTTTTTCTCTCCTCTATTTTCTTTTCTCTTCTTTTATAGAGCTGAGACATAATCACAGATGGAGTCCAATAAACACAAAAGCAATATCTGCAATTTGCGAGAGATGTCGGGACTTGGCTTTGGTGAAACATCCAATCTAAGAAATGTCAGCAGGCACCTCAGCTCTTGATGTGAAAGTATTTCCAGGTTGAATGACAGTTGCACTTTTATCCTGATCGTCTGCTTTTTCTCCTGACAGATTGGGACTTTGTCATCTTTTGGCAAGCAGCAGCCATAAAGACACAACATATGTGTCGCTTCTCTTTCCGTTTAAGGTCATTTGCGACACCGTACTGCTTCAGCACATCTGTTACTCGTGGAAGTTTTCCAGTCACTTAATTTGCCATATGTTGCTGCTGCCTCAACATTCCAAGGAGGACGGCAAAGCAGAACACTCAACACAACATAATCACAGATTATTAACAATAAAACAGGCAGCATACTTCTTTTTGGCACCGCTCAATGTGTCGCATCCCAGCCGACTGATGACATGGCTACAGGCTCAAGGCATTTCAGCCCATTTCTGTCCCAAGTATAAAAATAACTAGCCCTCCTAAATTGCAATCGCACCCTACTTGCCTGATCTTAATTCAGAGCGACAGCACAATGGTGAATAAAGTTTAAATAAATCAGATCAATCATATGTAGATATGACATTTAACACCAACAGTAAATTCCCAGCTGCTGGTGGATGAAAGTCATGTTTGAGTGTTTGACGAGCAAACTCCACAGAGGCTCCTGAGGGAAGGGCTGGCTCGAAGGGTCGTGATGCAACACGCTGGATAAGAGGGGACCATTGACTTAGCATATCAATATAGGTAATTGGTTAAAAATAAAACTGCTGCTTCGAAACAAAACAATATTCTGTTCTGCTGTGAAAATATCAGAGAATGGATTTACATGGCTTTGTGCCGAACCAATCAATCGCACAACAAAAAGTTTAGCAATACACATACAAATACATATGGCTATCAAAGTCTTTTTGAGAAGCTGCTCACATATCCCGACTCGTCTGCTCTAAATGGGGAGAAGCACTTGATTACAGGATAGGAGTGGATAGCTATAATTTGTAATAAAAATGTGAGGTTTAGGATTAAAGGACATTTGTGTATAATATGGGTAGAGCATAGAGAGGGAAAATAGCACAAATGTGTTTCAGACATGGGCCTTTTAGAGGCTACTTTCTCCGTTAAGAATCGTACAGATTTTATGGTTTTCAATTCTGATATTCCTATAATTGCTCCGTTACCAAAACTACTCAAATTTAGTAAAGTCGACAGTGTCGCTTTGATATAAATCTGAAAGTGTCTGGTAACCATTTTCATTTTGCAGAATGCAACGAAACTCCTTTGATTCTTGAATTTTACTTAATATCAGATGATAGCTTTCAGATTCAGTCTGTTCAATTCCACTTCAGGAGTCTGCAGTGAAATTGATTTCCGATTTGATTCAATATTGATTAGGAATTTCAGTTCCAACACAAATTATGTTCAGAATCAGAGATTTTCATTTAATTAATTCTAAAGATAATAAAATAAGTTAACAAGACAAGGGTTTTGTCACAGAGCAAATTGTGGGTGTTGATGCTTCTGACGCATTTCCACTTTCCTCACTGGGATCACAATGTATACATATACATATTAACATGAACAATTATACTAATCAAAAACTACATAAACGAGAGTATTTTATCAGTCAATGGAGGTTTTCATTTTAATTTGCTTTGAACTGAAAAAATCTAATTTTCAAAAATTCTGCAATGCTTTTTGATGATCTGTAGTTAATAAAGAAGTTAAAGGATTTTTTTTAAAGCTCCATAAAACATTCCACACCCTCAGATTTACAACAAAAAACAGACCTAACTTTTAGAAGAATACAACTTTTGATTCAAATCCTGTCTTCCTTGTATGAATCTTGTTCCCACTGACAGGAATACATACATGTGAAAACAAAGACCCTTCCTCTTGATGATAAGGTTTTCTGACATTTGTAATCTTTCCCAAACATCCTCCAGCCTAAGACAGCCTTCATGACTTTTTCCAGTATTCCAACCCAATAACCTTTTCTGACCTTTTTGAATGGACATCCTTGTTAGCTAAATGTCTGCATGTTTAACAGACCCCTGCGGAAAAGCGTCTGTCCTCTTCTTCAATTAAATCTCATCCCAGCCGATGACAAGAATGAGAATTGCAACAGGCAGCGCCACCCGCACCAAAACTGTGTCCCGATTCTCTGCTGGGCAAAAGAGGCCTTGATGCGCTTTTTGCATGTCAGTTTCTAAAAATAAAAAAAAATGCTTTACATTCAGCTCAGAACCTCAGAGCTGGCAAGAAACTTGAGTGCCCTCAAGCAAACAAATGTCCCATCATCTGCCTTTCACAAACCTTTAGATCGCTGTGAATGTCAGCGATATTATCCTCCCCCTTCGGCCCCCATCCCTGTCTGCCGGCCTGGGCACCACACTTAAACCAAATCTCAAGATGCCGAGGTGTCTGTGATGTAGCCCACCGCTAAAAAGTCAAGGCAGAGAAAAAAATAAACTGTGGCCAATCAATGTTCTGACAAGGCAAATATCAGGCCTGGCCATGGGGCAGCGATTCAAAGTGTCTAACAGACAGGAATCATTCTGCCATGACAAGCCTGCCGTGCTAAATGCTGATGAGCTTGTTTGAAAAGGTCTCACCACATGGGATATATGTCAGATGTCAACCGAATACTTAATTCACAGAAAGAAACCCACTGAAACCTATTCTATTCGTCCGCTTCTGTCAGAGACGGAGCAGTTGGCTCTACCTGACCAAAAAAGAAAACTGAAATAATGTCAGTCACGAACATCAACTTGTGCTAACTTTAACCAACATTACACTTTTTTTGGGACACATTTGGCGATGCTTTTACCTTTGTAAAATTGTAGATTTGCTTGAATTTGATTTCAACATTTGAGCAATGTTGAGGAATAAGGCGAGATTTCAACCACATTTCTTTAAAAAAGATGATAGATGAAGGTTTTAATCATGTCTTGAGGAGATCTTTACTCAGCAGCTATTTTCAGCAATGTTTGATTTCTTGAGGCAAACACATTTTGACACTTCTGAACGAGAGTAAGACATTTCCTTTGACCACAGGATGCATCCTCCAACGCGTTTTTTTCTTGGCAGTGACAAGCAGTTTGGGTTAAATAACCCGCTGACAGCTGAGACGTTAATCAGTGTGGTACTTTTTGAATGGGACATTCTTAACTATTTTCTTATCGAATCCAGGAGTTCATTCATTCTTTAATTTATTTTCAGGCAGCACTCAAATTTAATAAAACTAACATCCACTTAAGATACAGCTGTTTCAACCTGCCATATCTGAAGCTGTTCCAAAACTCATTTTCAAAAACAACAATAAGAAAATAAGACTTTTAATGCCCCTGTTTCAAGTTGCCAACTTTCCCTCTTACAATCAACTCACACTATATTTGATGCATCAGTTGATACGTTAAAACCCATGTAAGCACATTTTAGGAGGATAAATCCATACTGAGGGGCTACGTAATACAAGAAAATTCATTCCATCAGAGAGATGAACGTAACAGTCAAAGCGAGAGGCCGCAATGAATTTCAATATGAGTTTTTCCAACTAAATTGATTTGTGGTATAGAGGGTTATTTCAAACCACAGGAAATGACAACCCTGCTGCAATGGCATGCCAGGTAACACAGCTATATTTACTCTGTAGTGCAGTCAGAAAGGCAAAGAAAGAAATAACTAAAAGTCTAAGTGCTTGACCAGTAGATTGTTTTTTATGTCAATCTTTTTCCAACCAAAAGAACTCTATTTGAAATAAAGCTTTTCCAAGCAGGTTTCATAGATTTTGCAAGGTTATGTTGCCTAATGTTAAAAATCCCTGAAACAAAAACATTCCGCCTCACACTCCATTGAAAAAAGAAATATATTTGCGTAGTCTTTTTAATAGTGAGAATATTCACAGTATTTCACCTTCTTTAACGACAGAAGACTAAGGGATGCATTACACCACCAAAGTATAGCTATTATATTTCTACCCAATTTAAACACTATCTGTATTGATGTTACTCTATAACAGGTTAACATGATGAATATTCCTATTATATGAGGCTCTGCAACTATAACTACATTTATAATATGACCTTTAAGACAGGCTAAGTACCACTGGAGTGGAGCCAAGTTTAAACAGTAATCAGGCAGATGGCAGAGTCAGCCAGACAGGACACACAAACACACTTGTGCAGCCGAGGAAGCGCGATAACCTGCAGAGCCGCCACCTGTTTCAGGACACTTCACAATTTCACCATATTCAAAGAAGCCCTTGTTCATTACGCGGACTTACATTCCCATCATTCTTTAAGAAGCACTCAGATAGAGCCTAAAATTGTAATTTTTCCTTCTGTCTTCTGTGTGTTCAGTCTGAATTTGTGTCCCCGTCTCTCACAAACAATAAATCCCTCCCCGCTGCACCATCTAACTCTGGTTTCCAAGCCCCCAGACGACGCTGCAAAGGAGGCCTGAGGAAGTGTGATGAAAGCATTTGACATGCTCAACTTCTCATAAAACGCATCTTCATCTTGTCCTGACTGAACAGTGTGACTCAGATATGCTGCTGGTGATCGTGGGGTTCCATATTAATTTACTTGCAACTGATTCACATAAGGGGACCATTTGTAAAGCCTTATTCTACTGGCCAAAGAGACACACATACATTTGCTTTACTTTTCTTTCTTTCACAAAAATAAGCATACAAAGGATCTTTAATAAATCTAAAATACGCCAAGTCTAAGCTTAAGCTTAATACCTTTAGCAGTTATTGCATTGATATTTCAACATATCGTCCTGAATAAAGCGTTTAACGTATTTTACCATTGGAATCAACAACACATTTATACAAAACAATTCGTATTGGACAGCCAAACATTCCTCATTAAATGCTAAATTTAAAAATTACAAACCACTACATACCTTGATGTAGTGCTCTAGCCGTGGGTAGACTCTTCTCACTCTGAGGAGGTTGGAGAAAAACGTCTTTTGAGGGAATGAGGTAGTGACCACGTGTGTGACTTGGGGTAAGGAAAAGACATTAAATCCTGATGCCTTGTAGCGCCTCAGAAGTTCTTCATTGACCTCATTTTCTCCCTCACTCAGAATACTGCCAGCAGCATAACGACATGGTTCACAAACCTATGAAGAAGGAAATGAAGTTCTACGTTAAGCTGTTTTATACCACAGAACATGTAAACAATACACAGCATATGTAGAAATAAATCACATCGCAGAGCAGCACACTAGAGCTGCGCAATAACCAGGTACATGTAATGATCACGCAATGTTTATTAAACTGTCAGGGTTATTTACAAGAAATTACGTTCCTGCTCAGGTAGACCACACTCCTTTAAGAGGACTTTTTATCTAGTTTACTTGCCCCGGCTGCTCACCAAAGCACTGCTATGCGAGTTTATCAGTGTGAAATTTATGAGATCAGAAACAGGTTTTTGTTGTCCCCGCAGAGATTTGTTTACAGAATGTGGAGATGTATTGTGCCTTACCTGGGAATCTACATCTAAGTGCGGAATCAAATCTTCAGTCATCAGACTTCAGTGAAATAGTTTAAATCCCTGTCTTGTTCATTACATTTCAGCAGGTTGATTTGTCATGCTTGAAAGAAAAATCTTCTGAGCTTGTGCTCTCGGTCTAGCAAGCCTTTTCAAATTCTATTTTCTAATGATTTGAAAACCCAAACGCTCTCAAATCTGACACCAGTGAAAGATAACACCCCATAAGTGTTATCTGGCCATTTCAGGGGGTCCTGACCCATCGCCAGCACAGATGTCCCCGTAAACTATTCTCGTGCTGCCATCATCACTGCCTCTGCAGTGTCTTTCAGACCAGCTTTTACTAACAAGGCTTGTCAAAATGTATAGGCCGTGCAGAGGCCTGTCCATCAGTGATGGTTCCTCCAAAGCTCCCCTGGCCCCCCACTGCCTGACCCACTCACTCAGCAGGTCATCACTGCAGGCCCTTTTCCTGATGTACTCCTGGATATTTGTTGTTTCATCCTGAATTGGGGCTCCAACGCTCACTAAGCCTCAGCCTGCCTCTTCCCACTTAGTGTGCATTCTCAGGCGCTGAACCTTCCATGCGTTGCGAGGAGCTACCTTGCCTTGATAGCGATGGCTTCCACCTCATCCTAAGTTATTATGGCAGCAAGATTTCTAATGACTGGAAAGGATGAATGTGTTGGTGTCTCAGACTTCCTTCCATGCAGATTACTCTTACATGCCTTTCTCTTTGTGATTATGAGAGAGCCGAAGTAAGAGGAAATTTGCTCATTAATGTTAGTTTCCTTTGAACCTTTTGGCAGCGCAGCTGTTTTTGCAATTTCTTCCTTTTTGAGAACCCTGGTAGCCATTAAAAAGAAAAGGGAGACACTTTTTACAAATGAACCCTCCACTGACATCTTACTGTGCTAGGATGAGTACCACAGAGGGCTCACATCAGATTTACATACATTTTTTTTTTAAAGCAGGAATGATCTAATTTGTTCACAAACCTATCAAAGCAGTGCTCCCAGGCAGTGTCAGTGTTTCTGAGGAGGATTCTGTATTTGCCACGATGACAGAGCAGTGGTGGCAGGACACTTAGGAGCAGATGCTAAAAGGACAACCTGCATGCTTTTGCTGAAATAAACTTTTATTTTTTTGTTCGGAGCCACTAAAAAACAGGAATCCTAGTCTCAATATTAACGAGCAAACAAGCTCATCTTGTATTGTGCGCTGTTTTGGGAGTTATTAAATATAGGGGCCTAACCACAGTCAGACTTCTAACAAATTTACCGCCCAACATCAAGAGCATTGTGAACAGTTGCAAACAAAAGCTATTGTTTCAGACTATTATCTTTAATGGCTTGGCTATGTTGTCAAGTAATACAAAGGCAGCACTAATAAAACCAACTGGCTTGGTTATAATTAGTGAGTCTCGCTGAGTTGTGGATGTACAAATTATTGGTCCTCATTAATGAAGATACTGAATCATTATCTATCCACAGGTCTAAATAAATACTATTCACTATCACTATATTAAAGAGAGTAAGTGTTGATTTCAATGAAGCCGTCAGGAATAAAGACAACACAGCTACGCATTTGTTTGAGAAAATAAATACACAAAACAGCAAGTCTATTTGAGAAATGTATTAAATTGCCAATTAATCATTTCACTGATATCACTGAAAATACCAGCATCATGAAACATTTCAGATGACATTATTTCTATGCCATGATTGTTTTAGGGCTCATACCGTCACATCTGAGTCAACTGGATTTATTAGGCTCAAAATAGGCATTTTCACAATGGAACAAACACAACAAACGCAGGTTTCTGCCTTTGTCTTGCGTGTCTAGGTGTACTCATTACAACACAAGCATGATGTCTTTTGATCTTTCGGCAAAAGACTGACAGCTCATCTAGCAACAAGAGTAAAATTCTACGTGAAGGAACCCCGTTCTCTGCTTCTCATTTGCCACAGCAGCTGAACCGGCTTTGCCGAGGCACAAAACCAAAAAGTGCAAAGAACCTAATGTTACACTCACGATGCATTCAGAATCCACGCTCACATTCTGTGAGGTTTACATTTTTAATGTTTTAGAATGACGTTCTGAAAGGACAAGGGCTAGAAAGATTTGATCATTTTGTCCAAAAGACCAGCAATCGACTGACACGCTTCCTGTGTGGCCCCTCGCCCCCTCCCCACAGCTCCCATCACACTGTGACACCACCAACACTGGCTCCTCAAGATGGGCAAACACATGTTGTCTTAGCTGCTCTTCCAGCTTTTTATTCAGACCATCTTTCTCAGGGTCTGTAAACCCTGACCTCAATCACTTACTTGAAGCACGGAGTTACCATCTGATCTACCCCCATCGCCTTGCTCCAATGTTTGCTGGACTTGAGAACTGGACAGCTGAGGACCAGAGGTGAAGTGGGCACACTGGGTCACAGAAAGCCCTCGGCTTTGAAGCTGTAAAGAGGCTGGTGGAGGAAAAGGCTTTAGCAAATGGAGCCTGTGTTCTAACCGTGAAGGGGCGGACAGATCTGCTCTAGCCCAGTGTCCATGGCAACCGTCTCAAGACCAACTCAAGTTCTCGTTTAGGTCTTTTGTTTCTCCAGAGGAAGTGGTAAAAGGAGGTAAAAGTGAGAAAGCTTTGAACAAAGGATGAGACTAGCCATGCGCACTTATCCTCATCAGTAGGACTTTTGAAAAATTCTTCCCATTGCAAATATCAGTGGACAGTGTCTCTCTATTTAGACTGCAAATACCAATGCGCCTTTGTGAGAGCACTCTCTGGGGCTCCTGATGCAGCCACTGAATGCCATCCTGAGGCTTGGACGCTAATGAGCTGAGATCATTACGCCAATTATTCTAACTTAGATCAGGATTTGGCTGTAACCGTGCAGAAGAACCACAACTCACTGCTGGTATAATTGCTGGCTAGAGAAAAAGAGGGTGAGCATAACAAGAGGGTTTTGAAGCAGAGCTCAGAGGAGCCCGTCCCTAAACTCTGGTTACATTCCACCAGAGCAGGTTTAAGGGGCATTGGTAAAGTCAAAACTGTTAACAGCTGATACTAAGCTACCTGCAGATTTTAGCGGAAGAATGTTTGAATCGTAAAGATTCAAGTATTTGGCACAGATAAAATTACCGTGTTCCAAATTTAATACTGCAATACCTTCTCTTACTAATTTTAGCAGATCCTTAATCAATAGCAACTATATAATGAGAGATTACAATCAATAATTGTGCTTTTTTATCTTGTTAAATACAGAAAACAAGTTGGAGAAATAAGTGCATAATAGGCGTGTTAGTGCATTTGATGATTTAGGCTAGGAGGAAAGCTCGGAGGCCATCAAGAAATTCTTTCAAGCGGAAAAGGACACCCCCTTATCTGGGACCATCATGGAACTACAAACAAAAGCAGACTTGATTGAAGCTGTTTCTTTCTGAGGGGTTGCTTTAATAAGGGTACAACGTGGAAAGAAAAAAATTAACTTAACAAGGCCAAAACAAGATACTTCCCAGTATGTGACTTATCCTATGATCATTTTGGCATGATGATATTTGCCTGTAAAAGAAATATGAAGGGCTACCTCCCTTTTCACGGAGCTCAAGATATTAATAATTTCATACAATTGAAATGCTATGGAATTAAAATCAATTTATGATTTTGAGGACAAACATGTCAGGAATGACAGCCTGTTTCATACAAAATGGTGTATTCAGCATCAGTGAATGCCATAGAAGGAACATAAGTCTAATTCTTCTTACATGGGTATCCAGTCAGTCTAACAATACACATCCAGACATCTTCCTTGTTCCATTTTATCTTGGCCTCATTTGAAAACATGGGAACAACCCTCACGATACATAAGACTCCACAGAGTTTAAAGTATCAGGTATTAGAAAAACAGAGCCAGCAGCTGTTACATCCTGCTGCGTATGGAGTCCTGAGATTTCAGGATAAATTAGTCCAAACACGGAACATAAAAAACGTCTCAGACATGAGTCTAACTGTGCAGTTAGCAGCCTGGAAATGGTGATTAAAGGAGACAATGACAGCTTCAGATTCATCTCCCGTCTGACCTTCCATCTATCTGGAACCCTTTCATGGGAGTTCACTTTCATTTCATAATTGGTGCATCATTTTATAGGAAATTGCTATTTTCCACTTAACATTTATATCTACCACTATCCCACGAATCCTGCTGATAAAGAACAATGCTTGAGTATTTCTAGATGCTGTTGTGAAAGCCTTTAATAATGGCGTAAGGCAATCAGTTAACTGTCAGTGGATGAATTCAAATATCATCAGAGACAATGTTTGTTTTATGTTTATGCATTTAGCAGACACTTTTATCCAAAGCGACTTACAAAGTAAGAGGGCACCGAGGGTTGAACTGGGGACCTCTTGATCTGCAGTCACATGCTCTACCACTGAACTACCCCCCCCCCTTTAGGAAAGCTAAATTTATCCATAGACACAATCACACATTTATATAGTTCAGCTACACAAATGCATACAACAGTTATATACAATGCATAACTAAGAAGTTAAAACAAACTTTTGTACATGTAGTTTCATCCCCACGCTCTACATACAAGGATATACTGATCCTTTTCAAAGAGAACCTGGTGTGACAATACCATCAAACTTAAATTGAAAAACCCACCCGCAATTACAATTAATGGCTTTTCTTTAAACCAGCATACAGCTTCAACAGATGTGCAATAAAGATTAGAGGGAAACAAACATCCAGATCTCAATGCTCTCAGAAAAAAAGTGAAGAAAACCATCGAGATTACATACAGTCATGGCTAAACAAGAATCTAATAAAGTGACTATCCACTTTTAAAAGGAACGGTTAAATTTGGATTAACACGAAGGCACCCTGGTGAGAGCTGAGGGATGGTTCACCATTGCCATTTAAAATAATCACGCCACCGCCATCTAGCGGCCAATGACATAAACTACATTTTCACGTTAAACACTTGTCTGATTCACATAAATTAGAAAGAGCAAAGTGCTGAAGGTAATTTACTTATTCGTTGTAGCGGGGGGAAATACTTTGCTAAAAATCCACTTTATTTATACATGTCTACATATTTACCTTTTGGGGATCGTCATAAAATACTCCAATACACGAGAGCTCTGGTCCAACACAGAGAGCTTCTTTAAAAAGTTCTCCGCAGTTTTTGTAAAGTCCATCTTTGAATTTGTAGGCAAAAGTTACCTTCTTAATAGGAGGGCAGCCGGTTTGCACAGTAACGTCTGTGAAAAGCCCGGCATGTAGCGTATAACCGACCACTGTTAAAATGAAAAGCCCTAGCAAGATAATGACCACGCACAGAATGAAGTCTGGCATGATAGCACATCGAAAGATGGTACCGTTAGCTGACTATTTGCAGCACTAAACACCGTTATTTCTCTAAAGAAACTGACTCATTCAAGAAGGTGTTTCTGTTAATTTTCAAAGAGTACATGTCCTTTACTGAACAGTTTTTCTTCTTAAGAGACAACAACAAAAAAAACTACCAGATTGCACTTGCAGCAGGACTTCCTGGAAGATACCACTTTTGCTGGAAAAAAGGGGCAAGGTAACACGAATTTACACATTTCTTTAAAAAGAAACGTGCCATTGTTGTACTGGTTACTTGCATGATATTGAGCAAGACTTCTTTTGAGAAGGACCAAATAATATTTATTTTTCATCCCGCAATAAATGTTTGATTGATGCTCGTTACTGTATCATAATATTATTGGATAAATCTATTTCGGTCGTTTCAGTGAGCAGCTGATCAGAACAAGAATATGCCCACAATCAGTAAGCAACTATTCAGTGCCTGCGGTATATTTACACTGTTGAACTGCATACTGTGCTCTTTGAATACTTCTTTCGAATACAAATGGACACAAAACTTAGATAAAGTAGGAAAGGGGGCGTGGTCTCTGAATTTCCTCCGCTTCCAATCAAGTGTGGGTCGAAGTCAAAACCAAGATAAGGAGTCGTCCAACTTAATTCAAGGTTTTCCCAAAATGGCTGGCAATTTGAGACGGTTTTACCAAATGACGGCTAAACTGCTGTCTGGCGAAACCTTTAGTTTCTCTGCACTGAAGGGAAAGGTTGTACTGATCGAGAATGTGGCGTCTCTCTGAGGAACAACTACCAGGGACTACACTCAGATGAACGAGCTCCATTCCCGCTACTCTGCGGAGGGACTCGTTGTTTTGGGTGTACCATGCAATCAGTTCGGACATCAAGTAAGCCTCGTTTTCCCCCTTTGAAGGAAAATGTTTATATCGAAAGGTTTGTCCAAGAATTTAGACCATCTGAAAGGAGAGAACATATCTTAACTCCAGAAATGCAAGACCAAGTCAAGACATTTTCCGTCTACTTTGAGTTTGTTGATCTGCTTCAACTTCAAATGTGATCTGCACTAAACTTAATCTACTGGAAGCAGCCGTCTGGCAGTTGGATTAAGAACATTTTCTTTGTAAATTCTGCCTTTAGCTGTAAAAGCAGAAATAGCACCTAACTTGTAAAAGGTTCTTTTTTACCTGATTTTTCCGATTGGAATACAAAGAGAACAATGCCTTTTAGAGAAAAAGTACCACCTAACTGCACTTAAATATGTTTCAAGAAGAAATGTAAACCTCTATTTCTCACAAATCAATTTAACCGCCTTAATGTCCTTTTTGTTTTACAGGAGAACTGCAAGAATGATGAAATCCTAAGATCCCTGAAGTATGTTCGTCCAGGAAATGGCTTTGAGCCAAAGTTCCAGCTCCTGGAGAAGTTGGATGTGAATGGAAAGGATGCTCACCCCTTGTTTGTGTATCTTAAAGAAAAACTCCCTTTCCCCAGCGATGACTCGGTGGCTCTCATGACCAATCCAAAGTTCATCATTTGGAGTCCTGTTTGTAGACATGACATATCCTGGAACTTTGAGAAGTTCCTAGTCAGTGGTGATGGGGAACCTTACAAGCGCTATAGTAGACATTTCCACACTATTGACATTGAGGCAGATATTAAAGAGCTGCTGCAGAGGGTAAAATAAAAGTTCTATGGAAATCAGCTGTAACCACCCTGGCCACAAAGAATTGTCAGTAGACATATTTGTTTGGGCTATTTTAGAATTCTTTCTCTCAGCATACCAAAGATTGTGATATTTCCAGTACCAGATATATGATGGTTTGCAAGCTATTTACTAAATGAAGACACTCTTTTTAAACCTTTTAGGCCAGGAGTTTCTGAAGAAGATGTAAAAGTTTGACTTAACCAATGTATATACTGCAAATATCTTAATTTGATGTGCTTACAAAAAATAAAATGCATATCCAATAAAGGAGCTTTGCAACTGATATTATTGTTGCACAATTATTTGTCTTTTGTATTTGATAATTATGTGTGTGTGTGTGGGGGGGGGGGGGTTGTGAGTTTAAATTGATGACCCATTTCACCAAAATAATTTATATAAAATGCTCAGTTTTTGTAGATACTTTCGTTTTTAGCTTCAGTGAAAGACATAGTTTAAATCCTTTACTTATTGCTACATTGTGTTTACTGATAGTTTTTTCTTTTATATCTCATCCAGTGTTCTTAGAAAGTGTAGTTGACCCAATGCGTTCTGTTAATAGCTGATTTCCAAGTGTTTGATTTGATTTGATCTCCCACCCGCCAGATCAGATGTCAAAAAGGAAGAAAATGGTTTATTTATGAAAAGGAAATTGGTGATAGTGGAACATAAAATCCCCAAAATGAAAAAAAAACTGACATTTGTGGAATCGGTTCAAGTATTTCGTTATGTCATGAAATGTGTAGGTGAAGTTACGGTTAGTTTTGCAGAAATAAAAATAACCGTGTAAAACGCCGTGGGTACAGAGCTTCCTGGATGACAGGAGGGACCCAGATTGAGCAGAAACTCGTCCAACATGGCCGGCCAGGAAGATCCAGTGCAAAGAGAGATTCACCAAGACTGGGCGAATCGAGAGTATATAGAAGTCATTACAAGCAGCATTAAAAAAATAGCTGATTTCCTCAACTCATTTGGTAAGTTTTAAACCCATGACATTTCGTGGAAATTTGATTAGCCGTACGGCTACGGCTGTTGCTAGCTCCGATGTTGATGTTTTAAATGGCCACTCCCTGCTAGTCATTAGCTCACTTGTTAGCAGGGCGTTCATTGCAGTGGTGATGGATATAAACATTTTGGAATAAAGTAGTTTCTGCTTTTGGACCAATGTTTCACTAGATTTTGATTAAAATGCATTATAATCCCGCGTGTGGTTGAATTACGCTGGATTGGACCTGTGGCCTTTGTGTACATGCTAACGCTCACTTGCTACAATGGGATCATGACAGAAATGGCATGATGTTCTCCAAACTGATGCCAACGACGTTTTTGATCATTTCGATAAATGTCGTAAATTTGTAGAGCGTCAAAAAGCTGTGCCACGCAATATAAGATAGCATGGCTGCTGATGGTAACATCTGAATGTATTTTGATTACAGATATGTCTTGTCGCTCTCGTCTGGCCACACTCAACGAGAAGTTGACAGCATTGGAGAGGAGGATTGAGTACATAGAGGCCAGAGTAAGTGAGAGAATCCAAGTAATATTTGCTTAGGTCTTTCCAATGGACGTGAGCACTAATGAAATGCTTGTTTTCACACAGGTGACAAAAGGAGAAACGTTGACCTAGAGCACATCTATGGAATTCGCATCACCCCTGAGCTACCTGTCCACACCTCCACCCTGATTTCTTTGAACTGTGTGTGTGGGACTCCACCTTCCTCTTTTTGGGACTATGTGGACCATTTTATATTAAATGGCAGAGTTTTGTGTTGTTTTATCTCATTGCACATTTTTATAAAAGACGTAGATCCGTTTTGGGTGTCAGTTACTCAAGTCTCATGATTCCAAAACTAAAGCAACTTCCATAAGTATTGATTAAAAAAATATGTATATTGTGGAGCTCATTGATAAATTTGCTGTCAGCATTATGTATATGGTGTAATCACCAAATCAGAAATTATTACAAAAGGGGAAGTTCTTGTGTGCCAAGTTAGACAAGTTAATTGTGTATTCACCTTTATTGATGACCTGCCTGTACAGTGGACTGCTTGATGTCTCAGAATTTAAATACTGTAATAAACTATCAACAATGATGCTGTTTGATCCAGATTTTGAGCATACATATAAAACGTGAATGTAGCTGTATCATAATCGAAGCAAAACATAAAAGTACAAGGGAAGATTTAGTTAAAAGTCCAACACTGTAAAAACAACTACTGAACTGGATTATTAGGCATTAATATTGTTTGTATATGTTTGGATAAACATGAAAAAGTATAATTAATTAGTCAAATCCATACGGTTTGAAATGTAAATTCATCTATAAATTATATTAGATATGTGTGTGTGTGTCTAAGAGTAAAGTGTTATACATATATTCACAAATCTGACTCTTGGTAAGTGTCGGCTAAAATTTGCCACGGAATTTATATTTATGGAGGAATAATTATATGTATGGATATTTCATTATGTTTGCATCTCAACCTAACCCTAGTTCTGTAACACATAACAGATTCAATGGATTTAGTATAAAGAATAAAAAATGTTCCGTGAGCACACGTTTTGCTTAAATGGATATAATGTTATACACTTCAAAACGCTATCTCTAAAATGGCGGAAAATATTGACCGAAAGATTTAACCCCCCGAATTTGTCTCACAGGTATGATTTATGGCGCTTCAAATAATGCAATGGTACCATGTATTTCTGAATAACTACGGGAGCATTCGCAAGCCCAATGAAACTTACACCTACAATGTTCGTCTAGAAACCAGTAATTTAGAACAACAGCTTGTACTTTGCTGCCCGTAAGCCAAGCTCGGCTAAATAAAACCCTTCTTACCCATAATGCACTGGCTTCTGTCCCAGTGCATCTTGGGATAAAGAAGGTTCTGTCGTTCGAGCGTTTCAGTTAGTTCTCGATTCTGAGATGAATTTAGATCTCAACAATTTAGCAAATATTTCTATGAAAAACTAAAATCGTTCAAAATATTTGCCTGCAAGCTTACACAGGTGAGTTGCTATGTCAACCGACTTTTCTGCAAGCTTGTCATTGTTATCGTTGCGTTTCTGACGGGCTGATGTGGGTTCAGAGTCCATAATGTTTTTACATCATAGGTGTTAAGAGGTACTTCGATATTGAATGCTTCTGTCTTTGAACATGCAACAAAAAATGTAATTGCTTGATGATAGAACTGCTGCAAAACTACTATCCTTTTTTTGTTGTTGTTTAGATTGCGAGAGTGCAGTCCATAGAAAAATGGGAGCTGACAAAAGGTGGGTAGTAATGTCGAGCGCGAGCATAGATAGACAGGATAAACGCTGATGGTCGCGTTATTTTGATGCTCGTTATCCTGACTTGTATTTCTATATACATGACATGTAAGTTAGCTCTGTGTTACTAAATTGCCTTCATTGCCACAAATGGAATACGGGACAAGGTAGTCAGTGTACGCTCGTTACGTTACATTTCAAAATGGCTGAGCACATCAACATAAAGACAGGATTATTTTTGCGGTAAAATGCGCATTTTTGCACTTGCTGTCAGGTAGAATAATTGTGCCTTTGGAATAATTTAAAACATTTATATAGGCCTACTTGGGTACATAATTTGGCCGTATTAGGTTTAAGTAATATTGTTTGGCATTCTTAGTATTACTGCATTTCTGAAAATTGCCAAATCACATTATGACTTGTACGGAACAACTAATCTCTGTGAATAGTTTAAACCAAATATTTTTGTAAGTGATTTGAAATTGTTATCTTACCAAGCCACGATATTTACACATGAACACCCTCCTTCATTTTGAGGTTGAACTTTGAAGACCGTAAATGACATTTAATTTGATAACGGTTTGAAAGCTTCAGCATGGTCGACAATCCAGATTTTATTTGTGGGTGTGTGGACTTTTAAATATTGTCAATAGACATATTTTCCATTAGCACTATATAGATGTAGATTAAGGAAATGCTACAAATGTAAACCTCTTGATATGATGAGGTGATGAATCACTATGCTTAGCACAATAGTTCATCAATAGGGCTAAATTGCTTGATATGCACCAGTAAATTGATCTCAAATTCATCGAAAGGGGAGATTTCTGAGATAATGTTGTAGCTTTGGGAACGGGAGAATAAGTAGAGGCATGATTGTTTTATCTTCTATGTTCTCCTAAAAGGATTAGTCGGACTGAGCGCAGTGGTCGGTATGGTTCTGACCAGTCCCGAGATGAATCAGAGTGGCGAGACAGGCGAGACCGGGACCCAGATCGTGATCGCAGCATGCGCCGTTGGAGTGAAGAGAGACGTAATGATCGGTATGATCGAGGATCAAGAGACAGTCCAGAGGTATTTATTTTTAGCTTTTAGAAGCTAATATTGGCGTTTCCATGTGTTTTTTCTTTCTCAAATAAATGCATCCTTTTTCTTAACTGCTCATTTCCAAATGGGGTCCCAGGGGAACTGGAGCCTATCCCAGTAGTCAATGGGCGAGAGGCAGGGTACACCTTGGACAATGCGCCAGCTCAAATAAATCCTTTTAAGATATTTAACGTATTTTCTATATTTTTTGTTTTCTGTTTTTTAGCAAAGGGAGAGGAAACGACGAAACAGTGATAGATCAGAAGATGGTTATCAGTCAGATGGTGACTATCAAGAGCAAGATTACAGAAGGGAGCCAGGGGATGAGAGGAAAAGCAAGACCATCATGCTTGGGGGTCTGTCTCTTCAAGTTACCGAGGATGATGTAAGTCTTCAGCATATCTGTGGCTTCATCTGGCTGTTGTTCTCATCTGTATATTCCACTCAGTGTTTTCAATTGATTTTCTTTGAAATTTTGGTGGTGTAAATCATAATATTAAAGTACTGTCTGTTGCCTGTATGTTGTTTAGATCCGTTTTGCCATAGACCAACTAGAGGGACCCCAGCCCATAGATGTGAGACTAATGAAAAAGAGAACAGGTGAGAACCAGATGTGTGCCGGACCCTGACCTCTCCCCCCCCCCAGTCTTTGATCACAGGGTCAATCTGCTTCCATTCAAACTCATTTTCCCATAGCAACTAGGACAAATTATTTCAATTATACAACAGATGTGAAATTTTAATGCAAGACTTACCGTTTCAGTACTTTGCGACTCTTTTTAAGGTAAGTGAGAAGAACAATAAATGTTAGGAGAAAGCCAGTTGAGTGGAGCACACTGTTGTTGGGTGTGATACAAACTGTGGTATTCGGCGGGATTTCTTGCTATGGTAAAACTCATAAGAAGTGGCCTATTTTGTACCAAACTGGGCCTGGGTTGTGAAGCAGTTTTTGGAAGAGTTTGAATAATATGCCCATTGACTCTTAACTAACACACCTCCCGTCTATATTTGAATGCTGTCTCTAGGTATAAGCCGTGGTTTCGCCTTCGTGGACTTTTATCACTTGCAAGATGCTACCAGATGGATGGAGACCAATCAGGTTGCTTCACAATCGCCAAGTCTAGTTTTAATCTTGGGGATCTGGAGAAATAATCCTAAAGGCAACCAGAGTGTATTGATTATGTAGTGTGGAAGCTTGACAGAGGAATAACATGTCATGGATTGAATACCACACAGAAAAAATGATAAATTTGTCAATAATAGTCTTTTTACGATCCAAAATTCCCTTGTTTTGAACAGATTGAATTTAGTAACCTCCTGTTGAACTGATACTAAAACTGAAGGTTCTACTCATTTTGCAAGGTCTACATTTAAGTTATTAGACATGCTTTCCAAAAAATGTAAGGCCTACTCCGAGTAGAAGGTTTTTTTTGTTTGTTTTTTTGTCTCAATCTCTTTTCTTTTGTCTGCTAGGGTCACATTTTACACTTTGCTCCAGCTTAGTCTGGGCACGCGGGTCCCAAACACCTAGAAGCAACGTCTTTACACCATGCTCACTTATACACCATGTGTCTGGCTTTTACTCAAAGGCTGTTTGTTGGGGGTCCCTCTCCCACTCTCTCCCTTCCATGACTGCTTGCTCCAATTGATTAGATCGTTGTTCACCACGAACTCTTGAATGATTATGTTTTCCTCTTTCAGCAACGTCTGGTCATCCAGGGCAAAGTCGTGGACATGCACTACAGTCACCCAAGAAACAAGTATGAAGACTGGCTCTGCAACACTGTAAGTTAATGTCTTGTTTTTAAATTCACATTATTGAAGCTTTATTCTCTAGAACACAACAGAAACACACTTCAAAGGCCTGCTATTTTAATCCTTGCTTTCATTTGGCTTTGTGGTACGCTCCCATTTGTTAATTGGTAAAGGTTAGGTTGTGTCTCAGGTAAGTTTGGTATGCAGCGCCTAACTGAATAACCTTTTCTCTGAGGCAGCGCTGTTCCAGGCTTCAGTAGGTGTGTAATAAAAATGATGTGAACGGTTACTTACAGTGTGGCCTCTACAATTTCCGGAGGCGGCTGAAGTGCTTCAGGTGTGGAGCGGCCAAAGCTGGTAAGTAGTTTAATCAAAAAGAGGCCTCCCACTGCAGACATCCGGACGGCCTGGGCCCAAAGTGCTGGGAGGCAATACAAAGTTTGTCTCTGTGTAGTTGTGGAGAACTCTTGTGAGTTGCCACTCAGTGAAATGTAAACTGCTTGGATGGGAAATGGCGTACGTATTCATCCTAAATAATTTGAACAGTTATCAAACCATGATACCTCCTCCTATCCATATTTATTTCTCACATTAACCATGAATGTTTTAAAATGGTTGATGCATGAGACATCAGAGGCTTCATATACAGAATTTAGTGGCAAACAGGACTCTTTCCCCCGACTCTTTCCCCCCATCCAGTTCTTGGATTAAACACATATGAAGGTTATGTTAACAATGCTCTATCTTCCTTGTCATTTTCTCAACAGACAGTGAAGCAAACAATAACGCAGGGTTCTCTGAAATTCAGCCCAGTGGGGATTTTTATGGCGACAGTAAGAGCTTTTTTTTTTTTTTTTCTTTAAATAATAGATCCAGTTTTTTATTTGTCATTGAGGAAATTATTTGCACAGAATTGGCTGCTGAATTAATTTTGTTTTGTTTCATACAGCAATCATCTTGAGAAATATTGCCCCTTTGAGCACCGTGGAGGCCATCTTGACAATTCTGGCACCATATGCTAACCTGTCAGCTAACAACATACGCCTCATTAAGGACAAACAGACAGGCCAGAACAGGGGCTTTGCCTTTGTGCAGTTGTCTTCTCCTCTGGTGAGGAATTAAGATATCTTTTTTTACTCAAAGAACAAGTCAAAACCAATTGTACAACATCTAACTTGATATAACTGGTCCTCACAGGAAGCATCTCAGCTACTAACCATCCTACAGGGGCTGCAACCTCCTCTAAAGCTGGATGGAAAAACAATCGGAGTGGATTATGCTAAGAGTGCTAGGAAGTGAGTGCTACTCCATTCTGTTGATGGAAATAGTTTTTCAAGTCACTTGGATGACAAAGTGAAAATTTGTAGATAGTTAAATTCGAATGATCATTTCTGCTGCTGTTTTCCTGAATTAGGGACCTTTTGCTGCCAGATGGGAATCGTGTTAGTGCCTTTTCTGTGGCCAGCACAGCCATCGCTGCAGCCCAGTGGTCATCAACCCAGGTAGGCCTATTTTCTGTCATCATCTCATTGTTCATCTTGTCCCATAGTCAACATCACACACTTATTATTCCCTTTACAGGCACAGCAGAGCTCAGATGGAATGTCAGAGTACGCATACCTCCAAGAAGGCTACACTCCACTCTCACAGGTTGGTGTGGAAAATGTGGAACATTTGGCTTAAAGCAGATTTTTTTGTATCCATCACTCCTCAGCACGTTGTGATAAAAGGTGCAATGAGTATATCATGACTCTTTAGTAACATCTGGTGGCAGCTTTAGGGGACTTGAGCAGATAACATATCATTGTGTTATTGATGGTAGCTTATCATCGTAGCCAAATTTGTGTCATACTGGAACTTTAAAGTTAGACGTCTTTAATAACTGCAGCATGTGCTTTGCAGGACTACCAAACATATTTCCATCAAGGAGCAGGAGCCAGCACCTCTCAAGGAAATGGAATCCTAGGAGGTACTTTTACACACCTTCAATGTTGGTGGAGTTGATCATTGTCATTATCTTATTATTGAAACATTTACACAACACCAGGAAGCAGGAGGATTCCTTCTTTCTTTTTCTCCTTTGTTAGAAATCCTTTAATGTATCTTCATTAAGGTTAGATTTAAATGTGTTTGTAAGTTGTATGTTCTGGGAGAAGTGAACTCATGGAAAGACTTGAACACATTAAAGTTTTAAGGTTTTACACGTCTGCTTCCCCGTCAGTCGCTTTAACCTGTTGGCTCAAATTACACTTTTAAATGAAGCCGGGCCATCTTTCAAAAGCAGCACTTCAGTGTATTTTCAGACTTTCAGAAAAAAATCTTGAATTTCTTTCCACATTGATGTTAACTGTCAGAACACTTTTCTTTTTTTTTCTTCTTTTTTTCCATCTTAAGCTGCCCCTGGTGTAAAGATTGTGCCAACTGCAGTTGGAGTTGTAATATCACAGAATGCCCAGGTCTACCAACCCCATATTATTGCACAGCCTGCTGTGCAGGTATGTTCTCTTTTTAGTTTGGTAACCAGACTGCAATAAGCAGGTGTAATTGAATTTACATCGTATTAAAACCGATTAATTGATTGTAGGCTTTGCCAATTGCCCACCAACTGGAGGCAAAATCCCATTCGGGGCATCTCTCTGCCCTTGATGCTGCATCTATTCCAGCCGTTGCTCTGGGTGCTGCTGCTGCTGGAGCGTTAGCAGCCCCCGGACAGATGCTGGACGCAGGTATGAGTGAACTAAATTTCAAGTGTAAAGGAAATGTATTTTATGTCACCACTCTTCTAAAGATGCAGTCACAAGATGTTTTCATGTGGTTTCTCACTTCTAGTGCCGTTTTAATATCTACGAAATTTAGAAATAAGCCAACGTTGTTTGGTTTGACATGACAAAATGATTCATTTAATGCTAATATTTTCTATTGCTCAATAAGCCGTGTTTGTGTTAAACTTGTCAAGAGTTCTCAGCACAGATGAGAACTGGGGCCGTTTAATCACTGTTTTTTTGTTTGTTTTGTTTTTTAATCATCCATTTTTTATTTTCATTAGTTCATTTTTTTTGAGTTAGCAAAACACAATCTTTTTAAAAATGTCTACTCCATTTCTAATGAGTTAATTGTTTTTATAAACGACAGCTGCTCCCGATACATCCACCTACCAGTATGATGAGTCCTCTGGCTACTACTACGACCCTCAAACTGGCCTCTACTATGACCCAAATTCACATGTACGTAGCACACAGCCGCCACTATTGAGTCACTCAGTTTGTTTTCTTGGTGAGTTGATGTTGTTTAATGAGCTTTGCTGTTTTTCTTTTAGTATTACTACAATGCTCAGACGCAGCAGTATCTGTACTGGGACAGTGAGAAGCAAACGTATGTTCCTGCCCCAGCCAACTCAAACGCTGGACAAAGTGATCAAACAGCAAATGGCTCTGCGTCAACAAGTGGCAAAGAGCCTAAAGAAGGCAAAGAGAAAAAGGAGAAGCCCAAAAGCAAGACGGCACAGCAGGTACCGTTAATCCCACGTTGTCTGAAGCCTGTCGAAACGTCTTGAAAACGCACACAGGCTCAATATGTTTCATATTGTCGAATTTCAGATTGCTAAAGACATGGAGCGGTGGGCTAAAAGCCTAAACAAACAGAAAGAAAACTTCAAGAGTAGCTTTCAGCCTATTAGTCAGGAAGAGAGGAAGGAGGCAGCAGCTGCTGATGCTGGCTTTACACTGTTTGAGAAGAAGGTACGGTCATAGATATCCAGTACCTAATCTAAGAACGGAATTTCCACAATGGGTCTTCCTTTTTTTCTCTTTTCCTTAATATATAAACAAAATGTTTTGTCTTTTCTAAGCAGACAGGTCTAGACAGACTCACAATGGAGGTGGCGAGGAGTGTTGAAGAAGAGGCCATCAGCTCGGCCAACTCGTCTAAAGTAAGTGTTGTGTTTGTTTGCTTTATGTAAGCCGCTTTTTCTCCTCAATGCTAACAAGGCATTCTTATCTCCGTATTTCCGTTTTCTGTTTAGAGTGGCCTGGTGGCAGCATACAGTGGAGACAGTGACCCAGAGGAAGGAGGAACAGACCTCGATGGTGGTGATGGAATCCTGGACAACCTGACAGACTGGAAGAAGATGGCTTGTCTGCTCTGTAGGAGACAGTTTCCCAACAAGGAGGGGTTAGTTCGACATCAGCAGCTCTCTGATCTTCACAAGGTACAAGTGCATCAATGTCTTCAAGTCGAAATGGGGCCAATCGGGTCTATATTCTTTTTTTAATGATTATTTCTGTTATTTTCTAGAAAAATATGGAAGTCCTCAAAAGATCCAAAATGACCGAAGAAGAGCTTGAGGAGTTGGAGAGGAAGGAGTCTGAGGTTGGTTGCTAACATTCAATTATCCAATTGTTCCTACTTTTCCTGCCGAGTGTTTCAGGAAAATTACATTTCTGCTTTTTGGTGTGAACAGCTGAAGTACAGGGACAGAGCAGCTGAAAGGAGAGAGAAGTATGGCATCCCAGAACCTCCCGCTCCTAAAAAGAAGAAATTTAACCAACCAACACCTGCCATGTGAGTTATGAGGAATTTTTTTTTTTTCTTTTTTCAGTTTTGTTGGTTTGTTTTTCTAAACGCAAAAAATATAAATCTTTCCATGTACAGCAACTACGAACAGCCGACCAAAGATGGCCTTAACAGCGATAACATTGGGAACAAAATGCTGCAGGCCATGGGCTGGAAAGAGGGCAAAGGGCTCGGTCGCAGACAGCAGGGCATCACTGCTCCAATCGAGGTGTTTGCAACAGTCACGTGGTGACGCCCTGCTCTCTGCCCATAAGTATTAGTAACAATAAAGTTCCAGATTGCTAACGCTTGTTTTCCTCTCTCAGGCACAGCTGAGAACAAAGGGAGCTGGACTTGGCACTAAAGGCACCAACTACACGCTCTCACCGTCAGACACGTACAAAGACGCTGTCCGAAAAGCCATGTTTGCTCGCTTCACGGAACTGGAATGAGCGAACTGTCTCAGTCCAAGTTGTTTTGTGTTGAATTGCCTCTTTTACGTCTCGTCCGTGTCACAGGAAGCAGAATACACCGATAACTTGACAGCACATACGATCAGTAACTGTTGTACCTCCTACCAGACAGCAGGGAAATGTGTGTTGTTGTCACATTGAGAGTTATTGACATAATTTATCATTTGTACATATGCACAGTGGGAGGTCTTTTCTCATTTATATAGTCATTTCTCTTTATAATTGATTTATCAATCAGATTTTCCTTTTTCTTTTTTATCTTAACATGTTAAGATTGTACAGTTTATACAAAATCAACTTGTCTGATTGTAAAGAAAATAAATGGCAAGACATGATTTGTTCTGGTCGACGTATTTAATTGTAGAAGTAACATTTTATAACCACTTTGTGAAATGAGCCAACCTGAATTTCTGTATGGAATAGGTCTAATACAAAAAAGAAAGCTGCAGTACATCATTTTCTGGATCTGATCAGAAACAGGATCAGCAGAATTATGTTGACATAACCGTACAGGTGATTGTCCACGTTCTAACTCCATTTTAAGGTTATGAGCTGACAATTTAAAGCTACAAGAAAAGAAAAAAACATCTCTGCTGTTACCAACGCAGATTTGACCTTTTTAATCTCAGCTCTCTGCTGTCCTGTGTGTGTGTCTGCTGTGCGGCTGTCAGGTGTTGGTGCTTTACGAAAGTTAAACGGCAGGCACCATGGAGCAGTGTCCATGACTACGGAGCAAAAAACCCACAAGCCCCATGAATATTTTTCACTGTCCAGCTTGATTATTCAGACAGGTTAAGACTCTTCTCTCTCGAGTGAAACACTAAGGTTGAATAGACATTCAGTGCCTGTAGACAATAGATGTAATCCCTCTGATCTTTTTCTCCTGACTGCTGTACTGCGGACATGCTGCACAGCACTGACCAGTCCTTCAGTCCAGGCTCCCCACACATAACCTTATGCTCCTGCTTTCTTTTGGCTGAGGCGGCCCCAAAGTAAATGAGACGTGAAACCTGCTGATCTGACCCTGTGGCGTCAGTTTTTTTTTTTTTAAAGTGCAGCTCGGACATGAGTGTTTTATTTTAAAAGAAACATACCAGAGTCCATAGTAGGTCCTGATATCCCTGGGAAAATCACGAGTCCTGTCTTTTTCTTACCGTAAGTACAACGCAGCTTTTCATTAATCCCAGTGTGTGGTGGTTTGCTGTGGTGACTACTCTCTCTCTCTCCGACCTTTTGTGGGTAGAAGAATTCTTCCAAAAAAGTATCTTTTTCGTAATGCTTTGAACTTAAAAACTATTTAAAATTACATTTCATTAAAACCCCTTAGGTGTTTTGTCTTCGAGCTTTAACAGAGAAACCTTTCAGATCATTAGATGGAAAGGAGAACTTCAACTAGCCCAAATAGCTCTAATTCATCCTACTTGGCAATTCACAGATCAGTTGGTGAGGAGAGACGACCCTTGCTTGATGCATCTTTCACCAAAAGGTTCATATTTAAACTTCCATTCCAAAAACAAATTAAAGTTTCAGTGGTCTTTAAAACCTGCTCGGTTCGCCCGTCGCCCTGCTGGCACTCCATATTTAAACAGTGACTTTTTTTCTCTCTTTTTTTTGCAAAGCTAGAGGTGTAGCTCTACCTCTCAGGGAGGAATGTTTTGAAACTTTGGAGGATAAATGTAATATGGCAGCACAGCGTGAGTAAGAGTCGAGTTTGTTTGCGTATCTTCTTTTGTTTTGTGAGCGCTCGGTGCCTGTTCTCCATGGAGTATCTATCCTCTAGAAAACACCACACCTTAAAAACCAGCTGGGGAGGAGAACAGAATATACTATGGTCATGAGCAACTGTGCTGTGCACTGTTGTCTTTAGCCTCAAATTGTACCTCTTGTAATAATTGAGTCCATCAGTGACCATATGAATACATATAGTGAGCTTCACTTTATGTATTCAAGGGAGATCAGAAGATTGTTTCATCTGAGTAGAAACAAAATAGTGAGAGAGCTCTTAAAAGAATTAAACATAGAACGGTGTTGCATTTAGTTAAATTCCTTCCTTTTTTAAAGAAAGCCTGGAATGGTTTTGTTTCTCTATTTGTTTGTTGTATTTACAGGTTAGCAAATAGGAAGGTGAATAAAAAAAGAAACTAAAAGTAACAAAAATTCCATGTAGAGCCAAATACATCTGGTCTGTCCAGTTCTTCCAGCTTCAAACAGCTTGACAACTGGGTAAGTTTCAGTATCTTTAATATGAAAAAATGGATGCACAAGAGGGTACGAATTTGCCAAGAAACAGGTCTTATCAGGTTGAATGTGACAAGGGTGTGTTATTGTGGTTTTAATTAGGCAACTTCCACCTGGCACCAAGCTACGTTGCATATCCAGCCCTTCCATCAACAGTCTACCTGCTAAAAGGCCTCGGTTTTTCAAGTGAGGGCACATCCTGTTAATGTGACTTTTTTTCCCACGTTCTTCATCACATGTTAAATGTAGCCACTGAAGCCTTCGTGGATGAATCACCCAGACATATCTAACAAAGGTAAAAACACGATGCACTCCTGTTTAGTACATTAGGGATTCTGTTATTGGTCAGAACTGGATGAGCCCCAAAAAGCTCAATAATACATTCGAGTCAGATCAAAAGAAAAAGGCACTTGTTGTGAGGTAAAACATCCGCATTTATCATCTGAATATTCCATCCATCCATTACACCTGTTTCATTCAGTTCCCCACAGAAAAGTGGAGCCCGTCTCAGTTGCCTTTGGGCAGGCAGCAGAGCATTAGTAGCCTCTATCTCTTTCATTAGCCAGCATGGCCGGAGGCCACTAGATGGGTCACTTTCACACTAATGACCAGAGATTATTTTCCACCTTATGACTTTTTGATTAATTTATTCTGGTAACTTGAAGTGACAGAGGCATCCATTTACAAAATGCATTTTCTAGCCTGATTTGACTATTTTGTTAGGCCTATGGGCATAGGTATGGATCAAAATCCTGCATCTGTATTTTGTATGTTGACAATTTTCACTCCTGTACGCTCTTTCTTTCTTTGTTCTGCTGACAATGTTGTTATGTTTGAATCCCAAACTTCCTCATATAAAAAAAAAAACTGGCTTGGACACTGAACCCCACCTTGCCCCACTATTGTGGTCACCACCTCTAAGAACTCTCACACCTACTCTCTGCTTCGTCCATCACCTGAATTACCGGGCAGGTTTCCACAAACGACTCATCTAAGGTAGTTAGTAGAGTCCTGTCTAGCTGTTTGTCAGTGGGAAGCCAGGTGACCTCCTCACCTCTGCGTTAAGTGCCCCACTAATGTTCACTCATGAGCGAGCAGCCAGAAAAACTTTCCACATTCCACAGAAAGCAGCCAGTTATGACCGGCACAGGACTCAAAAAGTCCGTGAGAGGAAATGTCGGACTGGCTCCTAATGACTGGCGCACAAAGGCAGACGGGAGTGCGCGCATTTGAACTCAATCTCAAGCAGCCAAAATGAGCGTGTTCCGCTCCTGGCGCATCTCTGAGCGCAGCGACGCGCAAACTCTCAACGCCCGAGACTCGATAAAACAGCGAACTATTACGGCCTGGTAGATTTCCCTGTCCGTCTAAGGAACCAAAAGTCTTGGAAACCCAACCTCGCAGCGAGAAACGCGGCTCCTGTCGGTGGGGTTTTGCCCAGGAGGCGGACCTTAAACGCAACCCCCACAGTGGAGCCGAGGATCGTCTTACAATGCCGACCATTTCCCAAAGCACATTGTAGCTGCGCCGTCGGAGATTGGGGTGCGTTTAAAAAAAAGAAAAAACCCAAGCAAGTAGACAGATAGTAGCAGCCAGAGAATAAAAAAAGACAGAGATAGAGAATCCTTCGTAAGTAGCGCAGATCATCGAATTTCTGCCTCTCACCAGAGGAGTTGAGCTGAAAACCTCCAGGAAAGAGCCTTCTGGTAAGACTGAGCGAATCTAATATTCTCATTTTAAAATGAACTGAATGAGTGAACTCATGAGATTCAGATTTATGTGACATGTTTGGAAGTTGACGGGTTTTGGGGAGGTTGTCCGGGCGCGCACGGTTGTTGTGAAGCGCGTAGTGTGGTCTTCACGACCGCGCAGGGGGAGTTGGAGGCGGCGTGCGTAAGGAAAAGGGCTGAAAACAGCGTGTTTGCCCCCGGCCCAGGGGACGTGTGGCTCTCTGTCCGAGTTGCTCCACTGAGAGAAAGAGTGGCAGGCTTGGCCCCTTTGCTCTGCGCGCCAGGTTCAGATGTCACGACCGTGTGCCGCAAGGACTAAGTGACAGACTGGTGTCCATCTTTTGTCCAGGCAACTCGTGCTGCGCGTGGGACCCCAAACGCGCCTTTTACAACAGGTAAATTCAGTCTGGATGAGCAGTCACAGCGTCTTTATCACTGATTTTCCCACTTATGAGTTGGCTTATTCACACTCCGATATGCCCTGACAATTTATTTATTTATTTTTTGGTAACTTTACGCTCTGTTGGTCATTTGCTCAGCCTCCACCTTTAACGCACCATCACAGTATGTTTACCCTGAGCGTAAACCAAGCCAAACGCAAATACAAATGTCAGCTGAAAACCCCAGTGCCATTCTCTTGGGAGACCACAACTCCACACAAACCGCACTTAACAATCAGCGCAGACCAGGAAAAGCTCTTTAACTGGCTGCTTCGGTTGCTAAATATAAATATATGATCAGGCTGAGGGAGAGCGTCCCTGTGCGGAAAGTTCTCACTCCATACTGACATTTCACCTGTTATTGTTTAGAACGCGGAAAGAGGAGTATTTTTTTGACTGTGCTGCAGTTTTTCTGAGAAAAACGTTTCCCGTTGGCGTGACTTTTTAGGAGCCAAATGTCCTGCATTTAGTCTGAGCTGTGAATGTGTCCCCGTGATTTGTGGCTGTAATGAGGCGAAAAGCCCCTTTTTTTGCCCTGCTGTGTCTGTCAGCTTTTATCATGATCATTTGATATGTTGAACAATGCAGTGAAATACTCAGAGCAAGACCAGCAAACCCCCCCATACCCCCCTAAATATTACTTCTAATGAAACAACCGGAAGAGCTTAGACGTGTTTGCAATGTCAAGGTGGGTCTTGGGAAAGGGGATTGGATGCAGGCCAGGAAGACACGGGGAACAAGGAACATTGTATTGAATAAGTTTTACTAGATACAAAACATCAAACTAACCTGGATGAGCAAGACCAAAATCCTTAAAGTGTGAAAGAAACACAAATACCAATGAAAATCTGAGAGGGAGCAAGAGCAAAAGAAGCCTGGGACAGCAAAGATCTGGAAAAGGAAAAATGCAGCAGAGGAACCTCTATAGAGGAGAGTAATTACTGAATGACTAGGTGAGGGGAGCTGCTCCTTAATGAGGAGAACCAGCGGACAACTGAGGAAGGTGAAGGTGGAGGTGACCGAGATCCAGGAAATGAATCACATAAACCAAAAGTTGAACGGAAGACGGCACACAAAGTAACCACAGAGCTGAGGATTTAGTAACGAGATGAGAACCACAAACCGAACAAACACAGAATAAAAAGACAAAGAAAACTTAGAACAGAAATTGAAGAGGACCTGAAACTACAAGGAGCCAATAGGAGATGTACAAAGAACCCAAGAAATACCAGATAACCCAGAGAGCAAACCGGAGCACAGAAGGTATGAATAACAACGCAAAAATTCTAAACTAGAGCAAATGCGGGTGGTACAACAAACAAAAGCCACAAGGAAAACTCAACCAAAGGAACCAAAAACAAAGGAAAAAAAAAAAAACACAACCCAGAGTTGCTCAGAATAGCATTTGGGGTGATTTGATATTAACTGATAAGTTTTTGATATCCGCATCTTGATTTGTTTGCTTTTTTTATTCATGAGGGAAGCTGTATACCTTTAATCTTGCAGGGTAAAGTGATCCTTTCCTTCTTCTTTTTTTGTTCAGGGATATTGACATAAATGCAGGGTTTGGTGTAGCTCCATAGAGTTGTTGGCCTTAATGGATTTTAAAAGGAAGTTATGATTTTGTTTATGTCATCATATCTGTTATATGAATATCGAACAGAAATCCAATTCTGTTTGGAGCTTTTGTCTCCTAAGTCTGTTCTGCAAATCAGCTGTGATTATCAGTCTTTGCTGATATGGATTTTATTGTATGTTCAGCATTCTATTTAATTTAGATAACAATTCCAGATTTGGACATTTGCAGTCAGCTAACACTTAAATGTTGATCTAAGACTTCAGGGGTCTTTTTTAAAAGTGTGGATAACTTTCAAATAGCTTACTACTGTGTTGCAGACTGCTCGTTTTGATATTGGACAGATTTGGAGAGCGCTTTTTTTTTCGATTTTTTTTTTTTTAAATACTGATTTTTGTGATATAGATTGACTTTCCTGAGACCATCTGTTGGTTCGTCTAATGTGGGCTTGGGGGAGCATGTCATTTTGACTCAGGTCCTCATTTCAACACTCTTTCACCGGCTCACGTGCCGGGTTGCTTCAGAGTGGAGAGGGAACAGATAAGCCCAACTGTAGTGGGTGACCTCTACTCTTACAGTGACCGCAGGGGCTGGGAGTGTTAGCAGGATCCAGGCAGGTGCGCGCTGTGTTGAGGGCCAATGTTTTATCCACGTGGGACGCAGCCAGTTGCTCCTCTGTAGGGACCTGTGGATATCTGCTGCTGACTCAGCCCAAGTGTTAAGTGTCAGCCACTCCAGTGGTTATTATTATCTTTGTCATGGGGCTCATAATCGCTGTGTTTTGATCCCGACTATATCACATGCTGCTGTAAATTTATATCGAAGTCATTAGAATTCTCTCTCCTTATGATTTGTGTATAATTAGCCCTAGAAAAGGTTGTTTTCACCTACACTGTTGTCTTGTTTAGCTATTATTCCTCTCAAAATATCACTTTAATGCATTCAGCTTATATTTCCAGATTGTCCTCAAGTAACCAATCAGTGCAAAAATATGTGCTTTCAGTTGATTTGATGTAAACCACTAGTAGTCATAGGTTCACGCACAAAAGCAGATAATAGATGATCACAGTGTACTGGGGTTCCCGAAGGCCTGCCGGGATCATGGAGGAAAAAGGAAAAACACAGATCCCAATTGCTGACCTTTTCTCACCATCGGGGCTCTCACAGCCTTTTTCTCACCTGCAAGGAGGTTTAACTCAACCACCATCAGACCAAGTGTTCCAGCACTCTCCTGTGTCCTGGCATTAACTAACCGTGGTCCAACCAGGGCTGCCAGATTTCTTCTTCTTTCGAATGTGTGAATTTTGTTATTGGTTAGTTTCATCACCCGGACTTTAGTTTACTAGCCTGTGTTCTGTTTGCCAGGTTTATGAATTGAGAGCAGTGACAATGAGTTCATTGTAGCCGAGGTGAATCGCAGATGATTTCAGTTCTGCCATTTTAGCAGCAACATTTTTATTACAAAGTCTGAAGCATCAAATCTTTTTTTTTTATTGTTGCCCTACAAAAATGTTACAATACAGAAGATTTTTTAAAAAATTCTCTGTTGACATCATATATTAACATCTTATTTATTTGAACTTAAAAAAAAAAGGTCCAGTGAATGAATGAATGAATTTAAGGGTCACCCTAACCCCCATCAACTCTTGTTTCTTGTATAAACGTTTGTGCACTTTAAAAGCCAAATGACCATAAACAAATTTCACTCTGTAAATTTGTAGAATCGTATAAATATAGATTTCATTGTTGAGGGTCACGAACAGCAGAGTCTAAAAAAAAAACTGACACCTAAAGTCAAACATGGGCCACAAGCCTGAGAAAATGCCTGGAATATAATTACTGACTTATTACCTCCTACTGCTTTTCATTAAAAAAAGGATTCCTGATTAATTGAATTGCACATCTAGAAAAAGATACTTCCACGTGCCAATTTTCTGTGTTTATCGTGTAATACAATTCTCACAATTGCATTTATGTTTAAACATTGTAACTCAGAGAGGATCCGTACACGATGTCGCTACCAAAAATGTACAGTTAACACTTCGATGTTTAGATGTTCTCATTATTGATATAGTGAAATAGACATATAGACATTGTAATTTACTATTGAAATATTTTTGTGAGAATTTCACAAAAAGATTCAGTCATAGTACATATAGCAGAAGTTCCTGTTTTTGTGATGGCCGCTAGGATTCAGACCTTTTTGTTTTTTCCCCCTGTGACAGAATCAGGCTAGAAAAAAGAAGTGTGTTGCCTGCATGCTCCCTTCACGGCACATATAGTTTTTCTGTTACCTGATAAAGTCTTGATACATTTGCTCTCTGAATATACTCATTGAACATTGCGATTCTCTTTTTGGCTAACCAAATTTAGACTAATTTTTGAACGGGAACCAAACTGTAAACTGATATGTAAATTCTAGACCCCTATCTGCAGACATGCTGATGCTCACACAGCTTCGTAGGCTGAATATGAATCTGTGTGATGACTTGGTCATTTACATTTTTAAAAAAACAAATGTGAAAATAATGTGAAAGTTTCAAAATGGATCAGAAAAGAATTTAAGAAAAAATAAGTATACAGATTTCAAATAAGGTTTAAATAACTGATTCCTCTGTCTTTGAATATTCCATATTTTGGTCTAAGTTATTAATGGACTTGTCTTATTTGATTAGCTCAGTTCTTACCTAATATATCCTTTGAACTGATTTCCTTTCATCGTGGTTATCTTGTTAGACGGGTTGATATTATTCGATGTACGTCATGTTTGCTTAGCAATCCTTGCGAACACTGTTGGGAAACGTCCAGTAGAATATGCTGATGAACTCATTTTATATTTGGAAACTCTTCGATTTAGTTTAGATGTTTATCAGATGAAAAATGATTGGCCTGAATTGCTTTTCAGATGTAAAAGAAGAAAAAGCCTTAATGTTCTTATTTTCATGATTGGAATAATGGATGTTTGTGTTGTTACTCTGGTCATGCCTATCTAAATTTAGATAAGTCATTAGTTGCCATTTAAAAGCCTCATGAATTTCAAGGGTTTTTTAGCCGAGGGGAGTTGTTTTGCATCTAGAAGCTTCTGCTTACTTGTCCACCCAGTGGAGTGTGGTTCAGGTGCTGGCCGATAATGCAGGACACCAGCACGTGTTCTTCTGTTCCCAGAAGGCACGTGGCGTGGGACGAGCTGGTGCTGCCAGGCGCTCTTGGCTGAACTTCATGCATTTTCTCATCTACATGTGCCATTGCTCCCCAATCTTTCCCTGGTTATTTCCAATTATTGTAATATCTGAATATCTAGGGATAAATAAGACGGTGATAGTTAAGAACACTGCTCTCAGCTGTATTTTTTGTCCCATTTTTTTCTTTTTACTCTTGCTTAAATGATGCAATCACTAGTCGTTGTTCACCCCCCCCCTGCTTGTTCAAACATTTAAAATGTCATGAAAGTTCAGTAAAAGTGGGCCTTTTCATCCTCGTGGCTGTTTAGTTGCATAACAGAACTCAGTGGGAGCTGAGTGTGAAACGGTCTTTCTGTTTTTCATTTCAGAGATTTTTTTACATTCATTGTTTCAGGTAGAAGGGGACCATGATGAAGTAGTCATCAAATTACTTTCTCAGCTCGTACGTAGATTGTGCAAATAAATGGACATCATAAAAAAGCATGTTGTCTGGAAAGAGTAGAATTAAAGGACAGAATCTGATGTAAACAGCAGGGCATCGTTGTTGAATTACCTCATTTTTTACAACATGGTGTGCACATTTAAGAACCGATGAGAGGCTAATTGGTTTACTATTTATTTTTAACGGTAATAACAGCGGGTACTTTGTCATATTTTCCAGTTCATGTTGTTTTCAGTTTTTCGTAAAAGCAGGCTATAGACTGCCGAGTACCAAATCGCACAGAGTTTTAATGTGCTTAATGCGTCTCCACACTTTGTTGCTTCAGTGAGCAGACCCTCCTGAAGTTTCCATTTGACTTAATGTCACAAGTCTTGTAACTGTTTAACACGTGTTTCATTGTACAATAATTGAATAAAATGTTATACACAGCTTTTAGAAGAATAACACATCACATTTAAGTGAAAAGCATGTCATCCCCGTCAGGTTTGGAAATAATGAGAGCAGCAAATAACATTGTTCGTTGCGTCAGTCGATTTACGGCTTACTAATTTTAGAAGGTATTTATTACCAGATGGAAAGAGAGAGCAGTGCTACACATCCAGCAACTAGTTTATTTTAGTGAGAGTGCATCTCTGGTTTATTTCTGCATTGTCTCAGTTTCGTTGTATTGAATGAGGCAGATGATGATTCTATTCATTCCTGAACTTCAAATGCTCATGCTTGTCGCTCTCTTGGGGGAAAATGCTGCTGCTGGCTGACGTAGTCTCACCCACCCGTTGGTTTTAACCACAGACTTCTATTTGATCGAGCAGTTTAACTAAAACAAGAAATAATTGATTTAGACTATTTTCCAATACTTGCATGACAGCTTACTATTTCAGTTGTGTACTTTGCTGCTGAAAATATTTGAAATTCTTTATTTTTCTTCAGTGAATCAAAAAAGACTTTCAAAATAGACTTTTAAATCTGATTAGATTTCTCTGTTTAGTCACCCGTGAGCAAAGGCTTAAAAAATAACTTTCATAAATATAAGTAGCATTGATTTTCATCAACAAAACCTGCAATTTTTTCCCCATTTGGGGGATTGTTGTTCATCATTTGCCTTTACACACTGTTGAGTTTTTGTCATTGATAAAACATCCTGATGTGAGCTGTCCTGGACAAAAACACAATAAGGAAGACATTAAAATGTGTGCTCATTTTGGGCAAATAAATATTATGTATTGTTGTAGACATTATAACTGCAAAACTAAGGATTCGGATTCAGGGTTGGTCACTTTTTTTTCAGTTGATTGCCATGTCCAACAATAATTAGTGTGACCTTTTTTTCATACATCTCTTACGATTGTCCTGTGGCTGCAGTGGCCTGGTGTCAGTGACACACTTTGATTGTACAGTATGAATGGCATCAGCAGTCATCTTCATGCTGAGAGGACAATGAAAACACAGTAAACTGGACACAGCGGAAGCTGTTAACAAAACACCATTGTCCCTCTGAGTTGACACTAAAAAGGAGATCTGTTTGTGTCTCTGGGACCATTGAAGGCTTGGCAACGCATCTTTTAGTTTTACAGCTTAAATGGTCTTAACTTCTAAGAACAATTCTATTAGTTTTTTTTTTATTAAAATTTTGTCTATGTTAATTGTTTTGAAATTGTTTTGGGACAGAATATATTGCTAAAAAACACAACTTTTTAAACTTGAATTTAGTGAGTGTTCAGTCAATGGTGTTACTCATTTCAGGTTTAATTTGTTTTTGCAAATTCACTCCCACTTGGTTTTTTGAGAGTAAATGTGATTACAAAGTACCCCACATTCACCTACGGAAAGTGATGTCCAAATGTATAATTATGGCATTTCAGTAATAACTGTTTTGTCCTCTGTTTTCTCAGTAATTTCAGGCATGATTTGAAAAAAAAACGGTCTTGTTTTATGTAAGCACATTATGCTTTTATAATGTTATAAAAACCACTGAGTCACTGTGTGGGATTTGGCAGCAGCACTAAAATCTGTGTTTTTACTACATAAAAGGGCAAACAGAACACTCTAACAGACTTTAACCTCTGACTGTTTGGTTTTGACTTGTTTGCCCGGATCAGTACGGATCCACAAAACTGACAGGTTTCTGTATTGCAAAAGTTTCCGGAAAACAGATGAATGAGTGAATGGACGATGTCAGGAGTTCTGTATTTGAGGTCACTGTCACTGTGCACACGGCAGCAATTGCGCAAGCAGCAGGCTTCCCTAAATTAATGAAGTAATGCAAAGCAGCCCCCTCTGACTGTGATCCTTTCCCACTTTCTTCCAGATATTCAAGATTTTTTAAATTGATTCGACATTCACAAGCACACAGAACTGTGTTACGTCTTGGAAGATGGAGCCTGCTCAGTCAGAGATGAACATATTATCCAACGGAAAAAATCACGATCTCGTGGATGACATGGGCATGCCAATGAAGACAATGCTTGATGAGGAGCAGTGAGTACTCTTCCACACTCTTTTCCCCACATACAGACAAAATCGTGTCTCCTTTTTAACACTGCAAGTGGCTATGACTTTACACCTCATACACCTTACTTAGTTTCTACTTAAGAACAAACTTCGTGCCACATTGTTAACAGAAAATCAAGTAAAATTAGTATCAATGCAGAAGCTAAAAAGTAGCCTTGATATTATTCCCATGGACAAATTGACAGGATGAGAGATGTGGTAAGCAGCGCACTGTATGACTTACGCTCCACAAAATGTTCCTTTATTTAAATGCATGTTTGCCTTGTTTTTTGTGCTGGCATCAACTGGTGGATCCTTTTACAGAAATGGCACTCAAACAGTCAGGTATGTTTGTATAAAACCATGTGAGAGGCTTTTAACATCAGCTTTGTTTTTACATCATCAACAAATAAATCATGATTCCTGTTTACTAATGCACTAAGCAGATATGTGCACACTTTTTAGAGGTTAATCCAGAGACAATTAAATAACAGACGTTGCTTTGGTCCCTAGGTTTGATGACCCAGAAGGAGGACAGGAGAGTGAGGAGTTTTTGCCCAGTGCAGATGGAAAAAAGCCTATACGTTTCACAGATGTAAGTAAAAAAAAAAAGAAAAAGCTTATATTTGTTCACGTGACAAGTAGCAACAGACATATATGTGAGTTTCTGTTCATTGAATGGTGTTGTTCACAGTTTGAAGGAAAGACCTCTTTTGGCATGTCGGTCTTCAACCTGGGAAATGCCATTATGGGCAGTGGAATCCTGGGTTTGGCTTATGCCATGGCCAACACTGGCATACTCCTCTTTTTGTGAGTAAACTTATGTACTTTTATAAGATCAACATTCAGCTTGACCAATATTTTGTCAATGTTTTTTTTTTTGACAATTTAATTTCACTGGGATAGCCCTGCTCTAAAGTACTAAAGATAGAAAACATAAAGGCTTTGCTTAATATCTTCTTCATATGTTTTCTTTAATCATCTTTCATCTTTCATTTTTTGAAGAAGAATATAGGAATACATTTTTATTGAAAACATGTCTGAATTAATAGAATATCTTAGCTATAGGCTGATTATAAGGTTTATTTTTTTAGGTAAATTTTCTGGTTTTGGGCTGCTGGTATGTAAGATTGTTATTTTGTACCTATCATTTATACTTATATAACATGCAACTAATAAAACATGAAGCTGGCTGTGAAAACCTTACGTCTTACACCTTGGTCAGATGTTAGCAGGTGGTTTTGTTGCTCTGATGCAGATGTAAGCATGCTCCAAATTTTCACATGAAAGTTGGCTAAGCTGAGCTATGGTGAGTAAACCTAAACGACCCTAATTTGTTGCAACCCCAGATTCTTGTGTAACAGAGAATCAGTAACGGAGAACCATTAATCCTCTGCTATAGCGCTCTGTAAGAACATTAGTGGAACAAATGGCCAATTATTATATGTTAACAGGTTTATTTATTTAGAGCTGTGGGTTGTCCCTGTGCTGGTTTAATTAATGTAAAAAAGACAGACAGCAGGCGAACTACTTGGCAGTATCCGTCCTGAGGTTCTGTAATTATTTATCAAGGAATGTCTCGAGAAGAGATGTAATGTTGGCTGACTGATTTGGTGACGTGATGACATAAAAAACATGATTTACAATTTACCATGACATTTACACCATGTGCTGCCCACACTGATATGCCAACTTCTTTTAATACTTCTTTTTACCAAGTTCTCATCCCCAACTGCAGATGCCAAATATAACCCCCAGAAAGGCCAGATCTCAGAATAACCACACATCCTGGCCTTAGTGAGCCATCTATATTGGATCTCTCACTTTCCCCTGCTCCGTATAGACTGCTGCTGTCAGACCATGACCCTGGTTGTCTTGGTCATGTTTGTGTTTATGACGCCACTGAGAGACCGTGTGGCAGGATTGGAATAGAGGATGGTGTCAGTGTTAGCCTCAGCTCTGAGAGGAGGATTGTCAGCTCATAGAAAATGCAGTGGCGCAAGGGTCAGTGGAATCAGAAGTATGTGCAGTTTGGTCAAATTTTATGCAAATCAAGTTTGTAATTGGTGCAAAAGTACCAACCATTTCTGGGTGCAGCTTTATGAACAAAATATACACAGAACTCTGCTATTAGCTGAATAAAAAAAAAAACATGTTTAATTTCTTTTTATGCTCTTATACTGTGGCCAGATGTATTTGTTATGTCAAATCTGCTTCATCGTGGTGGAAAAGCAGAAGCAGAGGTATAAAACTTCAGTACAAATAATAGAATAGAATATGCACCAATGGAGGATAAATTCAGTGATCTAACACTATTTGCAACAATAGATAATTTCCTTTGTAATGGCTAAGTGTAATAGTTTTGCCTCATTGTTTAACTGCCGCAATCTGGTTTTGGATCACTTTGGGCATTCTCTGAAAAAACTCCACTGCAGCTTTCATGTGCTTGCAGCAAACCAATCTATCTGCTTACAGTGAAAGGCCAGAGTTAAAGATTTTAATTCGAGTTGTGGCTGCAATAAATTCACAATGTGCACAACATGATTTCGAAAGGTCTGAGAAAGGCTCTGAGTGTGGACAACCTCTGGCCCATTGGGAATGTTGGCTTGGGAGCACTCCGTAGACATGCTTGACTCTGTGCCTTTGTAGGACGACCTGTGCAACCAAAGACCAAAAAGGTCATGTGAAACAGCATGCGTAGGACCATTGATCACCACGAATGGAGTTCACGAATGGCCTTTCTTGAAAAAAACTATAATAATGCCCTTATTTGTTTGGTGCTCATTTTGTGTTTCGGAAGTTCATATTGTTTCAATCAGTTTCAAAATACCTTTCCAACATCTCACACATAGTCATGTTTGATTTTTAAATGCGTTCAATGCACACTTTGGTTGATTAAATTGATTGTTGTGGTTGATTAATTGTGAATGGGCTATAATACAAACAAAGCAATGAGTGATCAGATTCAATGTGACTGTATGATTTTCACCTCCGTGCTGTGTTGCAGGTTTCTTCTGACTGCAGTCGCAGCCCTGTCATCTTACTCCATTCATCTTCTGCTTAAAGCCTCTGGAATTGTGGGTAAGTCTTATGCCTGAGCTTATTTAGAATGAAACAGCACAGCTGACGATTATTACTACCAAAACTATGCAGGTGTTTATGTTCAAAAGTTTAGCTACTTTTGGGTATTAGTGAACAGCTTAAAAAGATTCACTGTTGTTTTCAAGTCGGCACAACTTTGCGATAGCATAAAAGAAATGCTATTTTTTGAGGTTGTGTAATCTGATGTGTTCCAGTTTGTACAATGTTTACACAAAATGAAACTCGGTTATTACTGTATTGTGTTTAAAGGCTCATCTCAGAATATCAAGCTGAATGTTATTGTTTGTAATCTGTTTACAGGAATTCGAGCTTATGAACAGCTGGGGTATAGGGCCTTTGGCACTCCTGGAAAAATGGCTGCTGGTATCGCGATCACCCTGCAGAATATTGGAGGTGGGGGGGCAACGCTTTAATTCCAACCGATTTCTGCACAAAGATATTGCTTCTCTGCAAACTCCAGAAGCGAGGGCACGGATAGGACATCAGTAAATGCCACACATATGATTGAAACCAGTCATAATACTTTGTTGTTTTAGAAACAATGCATTGGATTTATGTGATGCCTCTTTTTCCAGTTTCGTTCAGTCTCAGCCCTGAGTAGGTCTGTTTTCATCTCGTTACTCTGCCACTGAGAGTGTTGCTTCTTTTGTGTAGCATGTGTCTCTCAGGACAGATGCAGCATCACAGTAAACCACGTGTCCCGTGTTTAAGACTCGGCACACAAGTGTGCTTGTCTGTAACCCAGCACACATGTGTCAGGGCACAGGACACATGTGTACACTCACCGTCTCAAGGGCAGTCTTCAGTTGACAGCCTCAGTATCTAAAAAGGAATACTATATTTATTGTTATTGGGGAGTGTGCATTTGTCTGCACATGGGTCTGTGACATGTCAACACAGAAGTCGTAAGGGGGGTGAAATTGTCAATAAAATGCTTTTAAAAGTAACCTCCACCAGTTTATAAAAACACCCCGCTTTGAGGTAAAACACGGGGGGCATGACTGCTGCTTCCTCAGCCTACAGTATCTGCCCCTCTGTCACTTGCATAAACATGGTGTGGAAAGTCTTGGTGTGTTTGATCAACATGCCAGTGTTACTCCTCTTAGGTATCCTTATCTGCTTTTTTATATTCCAGCTATGTCCAGCTACCTGTACATTGTAAAATCTGAGTTACCGCTGGTCATCCAAGCTTTCCTGAAGGCAGATCCCAACTCTGAGTGAGTATTATCATTCGTCGTTCAGTATCCGTCTGTTGTGGTGATGCAAGTAATGGACGCATGACTCTTGCCCTTTACTGTTAAATTAGAAGGGGAGTAAATAATTAACTTTGAACCATTTATTGATTCAATCAGCATAGGGGTGTGACAAGGTTGGATGCTTGGAATTGGCTGAGCAACTGGACGGCCTGTGACTGGGTATCTGTTAGTTACAGATATAAGCACAGAATAAACTCCCACTGCTGTCAGCGTGTGGAGGCAAGTGCTTCTCATGTGAGACTCACACACTAGACACAGACACTCTGCATAAGGCCATAGAGAACTGAAGTGGATTCCAGATGCCTTTTCAAATCTAAAAACAAACCTTGTGCTCAAAAGAGCCTGCAGGGACTGCAAGTGTACTTTGCACTTTACGTATAGTCAATGTGGAGGAATAGTGTTGTTTTAGACTGTTATCTCGAAGGCCTGACATTCAGTTGTAGCATTTACCCAACAGCAGGCAGTAGGCTCTTTAATAGCTTAAGGTTAACCAGTTTTTTTCTGATTTCCCCTTCGAAAGCTCATTCAGGTTGGCACCTTCCAAAGGACTCGCTGTTATCCTTTGCTGCTGATTCATTTTGGACTATATTTAGACTGACAGTCATACTGTTGCATCGGATAAGATTCAAGTTTGGAGTCATAAAAAAACTATCTTAAGAGACAAGAAAGAATTTAGCAACAGATGGTGTCCTCCTCAGAATTTCAAACTTCTGGAGTTCATCTGGGTTGGCACTGAAGAGACCGAGTCTACCTGAGCCCACAGAAACAATTGAAAGCTCCCTAAGATTTTCTGATTAGCTAACACGCCGAGTACCTTAGAGGCCTCCGTACAATTGACGTTGATTCATTAAGAGCTTGGACTCGTCTCTATGTCTCGTAGACGCAGACTGTGGAATGACAGCAGCAGGTGGTGTTAAATGGTGGTGCAGGATTCTGGGGCTGAGCAGGTCAGGCCAGGGCCAGTTCTCACTGTCCGTTTCCAGTCTTCTCCTCTATTTAGCCAAGCCCATGCCGTCTATAGAACCGGTATCTGAGGGTGTGTGTGCTTGGACTTGGGCTTTATTTCCAACTGTTATCTTTTTTAATAGAAAGCAATGACGCATGACGAGTAGAAGTGGTGTCTAGCAGTTCATTGTGACGCACATATGCTCTAGGGGATATTTGTTATGATCAACAGGTAAAATAAAAAAAATTGCTCTGTAGTTAAACACAAGGGGACTTAAAAAAGTTTTCTGGGGGGATTGTTCCAAGAAATGACCCTGTAAATTCATGGAAACATTGAATCTTCAAATGAGACAACTGATATGATGTGATGAAAGCTGATGGAACACTAAGTTTAAGTTCTAAATCGTTTTTTCTAAGAACTTGACCTGGAGTTGAACACCATGCCGCCTCAAGTAACTCATTCATGTGAAAGCCAATAATATGAATCGACCTACTGACCAAAAGGCCAAAGAAGACATGACCTGTTATTTGTATGACTTCCCCTGCTTTCAAGGGACTCTTCCAAACACACACACACACGTCCACACACACTGCTGGCCTCATAGATCACGGCATGCTTGCAGAGTTGTGGCAGACAGCTGATCCCCCGTGGTTGTGTTTCATTCAGGCTCAAGAATAACAGGCTTATCAGCTTAAAAAGGGGGCTCGGGGACACAAAGAGCCCACTTTACGCATGATTTAGGAGACGGTAGTCTTTAATGATTTGACAGTCATTTTTGTAAGCTGCTTTTTGCTGGTGATGTCTGCTGGTCCCTACAGTTGTTTCAGATCTACTATAACTGCCTGGCTCACATGACAGCAAATGAGCTACTTTGTCACATACCATTTGTCTCCCATAAACAATAATGCCTGAAATGAGAGGGCCAGTATGCCCTTGTGTTAACAAGTACACGTGCATACCCCGTGCCTTGAGGGTTTCTCAGAAAAAGTGAAGGGACATGTTTCATGAGGGATGTTTTACAGGATGTTTGTGTGGTGCCCCCATGTAGCCCGCGATGATATGTATACAAATGGTGTATTACCATTCATCCTTGTTATTTTACAACCTTTGAAGTGTGACACAAAGTTAGAGATGCATGCCAATGCCAACATTTTTGGACTATTTTGGTGTTAGGCTATTTTCTCCATCGGTCTTTCCTTTTTCTGAAACTGAGCTGTAACATAAATCATCACTTGTGTAACGGGCTATTCCAGTGCTTCTGTTTAAAGCAATGTAAGCAGGTGCATTTTTTCCAAAGCCTTTGGGCCGAGGATGTTCCTGTCAGGTTACTGCTGGTCAGACATTTTGACACGCAAATTGTGCAACTCAAACACACTCTCTCAGGCTCTTAAGTTTTTAGAAACAACATTCTGTTCTCTGTTTTTGTTTCTGTCTGTCTTGTTTCAGCTGACTCTCACAATGTTAGATATATTAAGCTCACCAAAGTAAACTACATTTATCTCCAAACAGTCTGTGGTATTTGAATGGAAACTACCTGGTCATCATGGTCTCTGCAAGTGTCATCCTGCCCCTTGCTTTAATGAAACAACTCGGTGAGTAACGCTAAGGTAGTTGCACCTTTTCTCTCAAACTAAATAATTGAATATAAAAATGTACATCTAATTAAATCCAATGGTGCTATAACTATGTTGTGAATGCCGTCAATTAACCACACAAACTGCAAATCTAGACAGTTTAGCCTCCAAAAGATAAACATAGAGCTGATTATAATCATTCTGATGTTACTTAGACCAATTCCGCAGGTTGGCCATTACCTCCAGCACCAACCCCGCCACCAGCGCAGACCACTATATCGTTTATTTAAGTCTCACTAACTCAACTTACTTTCTTTTGAATAGATTTATTTTACTGTAATGTAGTTGAATTAAGGTTGTATCTATATATTTTGTTTTCTGTTCTGAATCACTGATTTGTTTCTTTATCGTGAACTTCCATCAGTTCAGATTTTGGTTTATGAGACACATAAACTCCACGTGTTTAACTGCACCTCACCTAAAAAACAAGCAGTTTTTTATTGTTATGTTCTCTGAGAGACCAAATCTTGACTGAAATAGCTAAAAAACATATAACTTGCCAAGAATAAAGAATTAGGACTGACCCGTGAAGCCCACACTGAGTTGGGAAAACAAAGGAGTGCATCATCGTAAACTCAAACCATTAATCAGTTTTGTTATAACCAGTTTAAGCTACTGTTCTATTCTTGTTTTTTGCGGGTGCAAAGAGAGACATGTGAAACTAATAAATTAATTCAGGACAGCTTTGTTGTGAATGCTGCTATATTATAATGCAGTTGCCAGAGAGAGGAGAAAGTCAAACAGATGTAAAGGCCTCTCGCCCACCGAGGTAGAATATAGGTATGACATGATGGATACCAAGAATAATCTCAGCAGTTAGGTCATAAATTGATATATGCAATATTTTTGGACATTATTTTATTTTCGCTTCACAGTGTTTTAACTGTAAAGGTTTTTTTCAATCCACCACTTAGTGTTTCTTAAAAGTATCTCGTGAATTTTTTGTTTCAGTTCAGTTTCTGTCGTCTACTTTTGCACTTTCCTTCTGTATGCCGACACATTTCAAAGTTTTCTATGTGCCCAACTTGTTTGACAAAAAATTACACCGTCTTACATAGTGACACTGATGGATAATTTAAATCCACTAATGTTCTTTTACCCAACCACTGGTGGTGAAAGTAGCATGATTTTTCCACAAAAACACCAAACACTCAAGGCCACCATAATCTGTTCTTTACCTCACAAAATAAACATATTGTGCCATCATCATGTGCTGTGAGGTAATTGTGTGGGATTTTTTTGCTTGTTTGTTTTGTTTTTTCGCCACCACTTAATCAATATAGTGACAAAGAATGTAAAACTTCCATATGTTGACACTCTTCTTTGCTAACACAGTTAATTTGTTAGCAACACATGTTGCATTACATTGACCCAAAGAGCACACACTGTAAGTTCAGTTAAAGGGCTGTTAACTGTCCATTCTTTTCTTTTCAGGTTACCTTGGGTACACCAGTGGCTTTTCTCTCAGCTGCATGGTCTTCTTCCTCAGTGCAGTAAGTTGCTTTAGCTCACACAGTAGCCAATCATCACATTCACTCTTCACATTGAGCCTCATTTACTCTGGCACATCATTCTGGCACATTGGTCTGTGCTACCCACTTTCCCACCCTTGTCTGTTTCCCACCCTGGTCCCTATTTTTAGCGGTATGCAGCTGTGTTTGATAAGATGAATATAAGAGCTAGGTTGAGACAAAGTAATTACAGGCTGAGTCACCCCTAATCGGGACTAAAGGGTTTTGTCTAACTTGTTGTTGATGGATCGTCCACTGAAATAAGATTAATACTAACTCTCACACATGCCTCCAGCCTCATGCCTTTTTTTCCGATTAAGGTCCTGATTGTCTCTTGTTGTCTCTCTGCAGGTTATCTATAAGAAGTTTCAGATTCCCTGCCCCTTTGAGGAGTTTTCAGCCAATAGCACTGCGGCACACGTCGGCCTGAATGCTTCAAGCCACGTCCATGAGTACAACAATGGGGTGGTTCACGAGGACGTTGACTCCATCTGCACCCCTCGCATGTTCACCATCAACTCACAGGTGGGCATCTAACGGGAAAACACTTATTAAGTTCCAGATCATTCTAAAAAAATGGAAGCCACCATTGCTGCTGTTTAATTAACTTTGTTGATAACCGAAGTTCTGCTATGGTAGACGCTACAGCACAGTTGATAAAAGAAAGTCATGTGTATGTACTTCTTTGCAGACGGCATACACAATCCCCATCTTGGCTTTTGCTTTTGTTTGCCACCCTGAAGTGTTGCCCATTTACACAGAGCTGCGCAAGTGAGTGCCACCCTTATGAACTTGTGATGTTTGATCATGCGTCAGTGCAGAATGTAGCACTCATATAACTCTCAACTGTCTTGATTTCAGTCCAACAAAGAAGAAGATGCAAAAAGTGTCCAACCTCTCCATCTTTATCATGTACAGCATGTACTTTCTGGCCGCTCTCTTTGGCTACCTGACCTTTTATGGTGAGAGCTGCGGCTGCTGGGCTTCAATAGCGGTGGATAAAAACACAAGTTAATGCTTAAACCAGCCAGCCAACACACTTGAGTTATTTACTACAAAAAAAAGAACACAGGGATACCAAAGCAATGCTGTTATGGCAACATATTTAATATTTTACTTTAAAAAAATTCAATCCTAATGTAAGATTTGCAAGTAATTGCATTTCACACAATTTTCAATTTGGTAAAAGTTTATCTTTTCTTTTCTTTTTTTTTCAACCGATATTCAAGGTAGAAGTAAAGCCTTTCTGTGAGCGACTTAAAGAATTAACGGATAAAATCCAAGGTTAAGAGTCTAATACATTTTCCTCTTTCAAATGGCTCAATTATCCCTTTTTGTCAGACTGGGCTGAGATATATACACAATTTGCCTCTATATTCATATGGAGTCCATTCTCCCTCTTGTGGTGACTGTGTGCCAAAACTATTTTTCAGTCTACTCCACTTTTTAGACAGCGTTACTTTGCGATTTTTACGTGCACTGGTTTAATTTTATTTCATTTGTTTAACTTTCCTGCAGGCAATGTGGAGCCTGAACTCCTGCACACTTACAGCCGCATTGATCCGTATGACACTTTGATCCTGTGTGTGCGAGTGGCGGTCCTCACCGCCGTCACACTGACCGTGCCCATCGTCTTGTTCCCGGTAAATACGGCTTGTTTTTGTGCGCTGTCCTCAAAGAGCAGCCAAGCATAAGTTTGTCATTTTTCTTCAATTAAATAATTTTGTGTGTGCAGGTGCGCAGAGCCATTCAGCACATGTTATTCCCCAGCAAGTCTTTCAGCTGGTTACGTCACATCGCCATTGCTGTCACTCTGCTTATCCTCATCAACTTGCTGGTGATATTTGCTCCTAACATTTTGGGCATCTTTGGCATCATCGGTAAGTACATCACTGAAAGCCTATTAACTTCTCGCCACTGTGACTCTTGAAATATGAAAAAAGTCTATCCATGAGAGTTCATCAGCCTAACAAAGAAAATGAGTTGGCACAAAAGAGAATTCTTTGACATATTAAAAAAAACAGTTAGTGTTTCTGAGCTGTAGTTTGGGTTTTGATATTGGATTTCATTGATATGCAAAACTAAAACAACAAGTTCAGGGCACGTTTGCACGTGGACAAACCAGCCGCTTTTGTCAATATTACCAAAACCTTTTGCCCTGGGAGCAGAGGCCTTGTTTCACACAGCAGAGGTAAAAGGTGAAAGCTTTAATTCAAAGGAACACTTAGAACATTTTCAGAAATGTGTGTCAGAAGTTACATTTAAAAACTAGAAAAAAAAAGAAAAATTAAATTATTCACCTGTTCAAAAAGATTCTCTATTTATTTGAAAAAAATTACAACCTTTCTCCAATATTAGACAAATAAATTATATTATACACGTGTATGATATTACATACCTCTAAGAAGCCAGTCTGTACATTTAAATTGATTGGGGATAGTAACAAAAATGTTGTTAATTTTTATTTTCTTAATGTGTCATGTTTTCCAAGTCATCGTATTCCTGATTAGGCCTCCTTCTTCATCTTTCCAGGTGCCACGTCGGCTCCCTGCCTCATTTTCATTTTCCCTGCTGTCTTCTACATCCGCATTGTTCCTAAAGAGGACGAACCCCTAACCTCCACTACCAAGATAGTGGTGAGACATGAAGTGTTTTATCATCCTTAAATATGTGTCGAAGTGGCATGGAAATGTGGAATATTTCATGGCAGCCAGACCTTTTGACTGGTGTGTTTTTTGTTCCCCTCAGGCCATTTGTTTTGCTGCACTGGGCGTCTCCTTTATGGTGATGAGTCTGAGCTTCATTATCATTGATTGGACAACAGGAGGCGGCCAAGCTATCGGGGGCCACTAGATACCTTCTTCAGTGTTTTTGATTTTAGGAAAGAGGTTTAGAATACAGTAAGTGTAAATGGACCTTCAACCCCTCAATGAAACACACTACGAACCGCAAATATACAGTATATTTTAGTAAGTGGACGGGAACCACTTGTTTTAATCAGATTGTTTTTTATTTTTAATATGAATTAGCAAATCCTCTCATAACAACATTTTCTAATTTATTCAATACAAAGAAGTGTTACAGCATTTCATTTCAAGAGGTATAAATGTTGAGGAATCTGCTGATGCATGTGTTGGTGAAATGGTCCTTGTTGTTGCTTCGTCTTTATTCACTCATAAAAAGGATGCAGCTGCTACTGCACAGACACAGAGACATGAAGGCATCATCGGCTTCAATGATCCTCTGTGAGACGCACAAAGGAAGACAGACAGATGATATCACTTAGAAATAGCAGCAATCTTTTAAAAGGAGTTTTTTTGGGTGCTTAAAGGCCTTAGAGTGCAGGTGACATTATATGTGCTTTTGCATTTAAACCTTGGTGCCTTTCAACATTTACAGTGGCACTCGAAGATACAAAATAGTGTCAATATGTCATATTTATTTAGCTATCATTTTGTGTTTTTCCACTTCAAATAGACTATTTAACTAGTGTAAACGATCACATGAAGCATGACATTGCTTTGGATCTCAGTTGTTGTTGTTTTTTGGTATATAAATGTTGAAATGCGTCGCACATTACGATATTTGATCCCACAGGCTTAAAATATGTTTGCTACCTTGTTGTATTAAACCTTTAGCACAAATACCCAAAACCGTGAGTTAGAACATAAAGTAACTGCAGATCTTTTTCTTCCCTCAGAATAAAATTGCAACATCTTCACCGCTGAACAGATGAATACAATTACTGGCTTTCTGCTGGTTTTATGAAGGCAGACATTTATATTTATTGTACAGACATAACAGTTGTATTATTCTTGTGGTCTAACGATCATCTGTATGACAGTGAAGGAGCCCTGTAAAGCTTTTTTAATTATTCCCTTACATGAGATGTTAGAAGCTGGATAGAATTTTGAAAATGAAAATTCTACAAAAACAGACACTATCTGGCGTACTTGACCTGGTTTCCAGAGGTTTGTGAAAACCAAGAAAACATTCAGATCTCAACAAGACAAAGCAAATCTTTGTGCAAGGTAAGATACCAAAAGGTAGAACTTTGTTGACTTGCACAATGCCTCCACAAGCAGCAGATTTTCTGTAGATGGGAAGTGTCTTTGCCTAAATGGTTTGATGAATGTCAATCCGCCGTTCATGTTTCACATGGCGTTTTTGTCCACTTTTCCCTGCAACCAGCTGCACAGAAACTGATTTTGCTTCACACTGTCGTGTGTAAATCGCTGTTGTAATATTGTACATTTGGTCTCTTTCAGTGAAGTTCTAAAATACCTAATTTGTGTTGTAGTATTATTGAAACCTTCTTAAATGTGTCGAAAAATTGTGTTTCAAGCTGTAATGGTTTGATGTTGCGGTGTTCAGATAATGGGCATAATTAAGCTCGCCAACAAACATTTCCAAAATGTTTAATTAGCTTCTCAGTGATTTTCACAAAAAAAGCACAAATTTACAATGGATGTTCTGTTATACATAAAATAAAACCCCACAATATTCATATTAAATCTAATTTAATCTTGAGAGGAAAAACATGCTGTGTGTACCTGAACGTGGTTTTATACTGTCCAACCCAATTTTTTTTGGAAACAATGTGCGTTGTTGATTCTTAATTCATATAACATCAGCTTACATCTGGACTGGAAACATGTCCAGTTTGTATCCTGCCTCATGCCCAATCACAGCTGGGATAGGCTCCACATAAATGTTTGCCGTGGTTGTTGTGGTATAACAAATATAACAAAAGCTTTATCGTGTTTACTTCAGCAGTTTTTTTTCCTTTAAAAAATCATGCCAAATATAACTTGACTACCTACTGCTATAGTGCTTCTCAATAGTTTCACTGCCAAATATAAACAAATATCAAGGTCTATGAATTTTGATTGATAAGATTAAACATTATGTATAATGTATATAAATGCAAACCTTTTATATTTGTGTGTGGATATTTACAGTAGCTTGTAAAGTGTAAATAGCTGGGACAGTTTTAGTTTGGCAAATAAAATAATTGTAGATGTTTTTAGATTGTCTCTGTCTTTTTTTTATTGAAAGCAGTTCTTATTTAGGCAAGAACACAATTTGCATTAATATTGACACTAATTTTTTGTTGTTTTATTTTTAGCCATTTAATGAATGTTAGATTAATAGATCTTAGAGCAGGGTATGTTACCCCCAAACACACACACATACAGTTTTGTGGACAGTTTTATCGCTACCTGAGCGGTCCTGTTATCATCTCTATCAAGGCCAGACTGTGAACTCTGCTAGCATTTAAGACTGCCTGGAAGATAGTTTTTATAAATGTGCATAAGCCTTTTTTGTATATACGCAAGGTTTATATTAAAAACATCAACTAAATTCCAAGCGCCATCTATTGCAAATTGAGTCTGTGATGTCTCAGAATGGGAGATTTTGGCAACGTGATGTAAACTGACTTGGTATTGTACAAGAATTAAGACCTTTTGCATTGACACTCAATAGCCCTAAAATTTGATTAAAAAATTAAAGATGCAAACATGTGTTTTATCTAAATAGATGATAGTGAATATGTTTCACAACCTGTTAAAAATATTTTTATTCTATTTTTTTACATAAACTCTGAAACAAAATAAACATTATTTACCTGATTTCTTTTCTCCTATGTTAATATATCTGCCTTGCACTTCTAGCCGTTCCCCTCACGATGGCGACAAACACTGGTCCGTCTAAAAATCAAGTGCCACGGTATTTCATAGACACGTGACAAAAAGAAACAAGCTATTTTCACAGCACAACCTGCACACGCGCGCACGCGCGCTCACACACACACACACACACACACAGCAGCACCTGCATTGTGCGAATGTGAGCAGTTTGGTCTGCTTCAAAACGCTGTCGTTTCGGCTCCGGGTGGGCAGAAATCCGGCGGTATGTCGCTGCTTCGGCGCCCACTGCGGTCCGCGAGTCCCTCTCCTAAAATCGCGGCTCGCTGACTTTTCCTCTAATTGGCTCCGCGCGCACCACCGCGGAGGGCTCACCTGCTTTAATTGGACTATCGCAACGTGTTGCTCGAGTGACGTCAACTGGGCAACTACCTCCAATTTGTCACGAGGGGTGTCTTGTCCGAAGGTTTACGCGCGAGCCCAATTGACTGCTGACAGACTGCAGCACTCTGCGCGAGCGAGGGAACGTGCTGTTCACCAGGCCGATGGATGTGGGGCAGAAGGGCTCCGAGCGGCTCATCATGGACCAAATAGCTTTCAGCTGAGCAGAAGAGAGCACAGACTTTGACTTGCCGCGCGTGGATGAGAAAAACTCTGGAGTCGGGTGTTCGTTAAACAGAAGGTGGTACTGGATAAAGCTCATCCGTCCGGAGTCGACTCGTCGGCAGTTAGGCTTCTTCTTCTTCTTTTTTTTTTCTTTTTTCTTTTTGGACGAAGCGGTCGGTGCGCCCAGATTTCCAGAGCCATGGGCTGTACGGTGAGCGCCGAGGATAAAGCAGCCGCGGAGAGGTCAAAGATGATTGACAAAAACCTCCGAGAAGATGGAGAGAAGGCAGCCAGAGAAGTGAAACTGCTTTTATTAGGTAGGTTTCCCCCCGGAGATTTGTTGTTACAGCGAAAACGATGGAGCCTATAGCCTAAGTGCAGTTTAATCAAATCAGGTAAAACCATCTTATTTAAAGAAAATATATTAATCACGATACAACCAGCATAGGCAAAGGCATCCACCAAAGCCAAATAAAGCCATTAGTCTTTCTTTTACGTTAAATCCTTAACACGTCCAAGACAAAGACTTGCAGGTATGAAGAAAAGAGGCAGTTTCAATGATCATCTGCCCAAAAGTCAGACTCAAACGTCTTGCCTTAGACCATGTTAATAACTTATAATAACTCATAATAACCATCATGTCAACAATCTTGGGATCAGGGCTAAACATTAAAAGGGGAACATAGCTCTGCCATTAGAACACAAAGTCTTCATACAAAGGAACATCTTACAATCCTAGTCCCACTCATAGACAAAAAGTGAAATGTTGCGCTTGAAAATTGTGTCTTGTGTTGGATTCGCTCTCTCATGCACACACACAAACACACACACACAAAATCCAACTACCAACACACTCCCTCCCAGTCATTACCAGTTCTCACTTTCCCTCATAGACTTTTGAGCTGTTTTACATAATCAGAATTTTAATTTGTCTTTTTCCTCTAACTAATTGGGCCCCTGTAGCTGTTTCACCAGTGCTGAGATCTGTAAGTGTGTGTGTGTGTGTGTGTGTGTGTGCGAGTATGTCTGAGACAGTTATGGTTGTGGTGAAGGGCAGATGAGCACAGACATGTGTCACCTTGATGGGACAAGCCGTTAATGGATGGCTGGGTCCAGTTAAGTGGCTGTTAAAGGTCTAGTCACCAGAATATCCAAAGAAACAGAGCTGTTTCCATATTGATGATTGATTTAATACACAAACTCCTGCGTAAGTCTTAGCTATTATTTCAACTGTATTTCACAGACAATAAATAGATGCAAAATACTAAGAAATGTGTGATTTCCCCTCGTATTTATGTCACCCGTCCTGACGCCCCCACAGCTTTCAATCTTTCTCTGGCTGATCTCGACCTTTCGTCACTCTGCCCCAAACCTGGCATTCGCATGTTTGATTCCTCACTTCTGCCATTTTTGGCCCGCTCTTGGTCTCACACACACACACACTTCCAAAAGGATTTGTATTTCTGAAACTCTGCGTGTGATGTCAGCACCGTGCGCCTTTTGTTGCCGGGCGACACGGAAGGAGTGGGTGACGTCTGAGTGGCACATGCCCGCAGATGAGCACTTCAGAGGCGACAGCAGCTCCTTAGCATCAGCAAGGCGTCATCAGAAAGTACAGAAGCAGGAAGAGAGGGCGGACTGTGCCGGGATCACAGTTACCCTGAGGACACTCTGACCTGTCACATGAAGGCAAATGTGCATAAAAGATCAAATCAACATTGGTTGAATGTTATTTAGCTTCTTCAGTGTTCTGGTTCTCATGCTTTTTCTTTATCCCCAATGTTAGCGTCTGCAGTGGAAGGGGTCTGTGTTTCGGCACAAACATTACAAGCCACTGAGATACTTAGCTGATGAGTGGTGGAGGAGGACAGGTTGCAGTTTGAAAAGCACAAACATCATAAAGTGGATGTTTAAAAAAAAAAAACACAAAAAAAGAGGAATCTTGTGTCTGTGACTGAATATATTCACCATTTGTAAGGTCACATGTAAAAAGTCCAGGCAACAGAACCCAGGGTAAGCCATTTTTTTCCTATTCAGGAGGTGAGCAAAACAGTTTGATGTGAAAACTCCAAATGGACACGTTAGATGTGAATTTCATCATTTCAGTTTAGACTTTACTTGTTAATGGAGGAGCCATTAAGGCCGTTTTAACCCTTTCCATGTAATGGCAGATGTATTTTTCTGGACCGGATATTTCCTGGACTTGTATCAGGTATGGAGTTATGAATCCAGTATCTCCCGTTTAATCAAATCTGCCTTCAGTAAGCAGCATTGCATTCCTTGGGAGCTATAGAACCACATTAGAATAAAGCAGAAAAAAACATACAATGATTGTCAAAGGCATGAAGATATAAAACAAACACGGTATGGGCACATAGATGTTGAACCACACTCATGTGGAAAATGGCTTACTTGGCCTGATGCCTCAGTGGCCCATGTGAATATTTCATCATGTGTCCCGTGTAATTATATCACATGCAGCGTTTAAAAGGTAATGTACATTATTTCGTTTCTGACTTCCTGTTGATGGATTTTACAGTTAAAAAAAAAGACAAGCCTGTTATTTTTTAATAAGGATTGTGTGTTAATAAGTGTTTGATGTCTTCAGGTATTTGCTGTGTAATCAAAAAGCAGAGACTTGCTTTATGATGGCTCAGGCCTCACCCTGGAGACACTCACATTATTAAATGATGTTCTTAAGAGGAAACGAAAGCCACCGGCGTCTGAAATATGCATGCACCTTACGTGCATGTAAATATTTATTTTTCATGTGTATTTATTCAATATTGTATCGTGTCTGTCTGCCTGATTAATCAAAGCTGGCAGCAGAACCTTCTGATGAAACCGTTCATTGATTGATTGAAATTTGTCTTGCTGTTCGGTTTCCACTCTCTATGCTAAGCTAAGTTAACCCACTCTGCATTTCTGTGTTCTGAACTTTGTATCCCCAAAGATGCGAATCCCATCCGTCTTTCCTTCCCTAGCCTGGTGAACATGAACAGTGCGTGTGGGTTGGCTCTGAAATGTTTTGAATATGTCTTTATGGCTGGATGACAGGCTGAAGGAGCTATGTAAAGTTAAAACGCATAGTCTCATCAAACCAGAATAGGATGGGATGCAGATAGTCACTATAGAGCCAAACTACCAAAGTATGGCTTGTGTAGAAAGGCCGAGAGATCCATTATCCATAGCACTTATCCTTAGTAGGGTTGTGGACAGGTCGCCAGTCCATCACAGGCTGAGGGAGGCAAAATTTACAAAACGGCGTGAGGGTAGAAAGACGACAGCCAAGGACATGGCAAAAGGCTAAAACTGAGCATGGGCTAATTTCTCCCCACAGGATAGAAAAAAACAACTCAGAAAATCATAGGCTTAAAAGCTTGGCATAATGAAAGTTGGGCAATTTGGCAGAGAACAACTGAGTCTGGGGAGTGTATGTGCTGCTTCCACAAAGACAAGGAAGGTCGCTAAAATTTCAAGGGCCCTGCATCATCCGCTCTCGCAGACACCTTTCTATGTCCTCTGTTAGCTGACATTTCTCCGGCCTTTTTGGAACAAACAAACAGCGTCGAAGGATGGTGGATTTACTTTGGAATGATGGGCATTCAAATATTTTTTTTGATTTTCAGCATATTTGCTCAAACATTTTTTTATGTAAAATATTTTTAGGTTTGAGATCACTACAAATAAGCGATAGAAATGCCTTTAAAGTGGCCAACTTACACCAACAGGCTAATTTTCAGCTTTGTAGCTCTTGTTTAGAGGCTGCAGTAGCCTAGGGGACCGCTGCACGAGCCATGTCTGCTTTTTAGCAATGCTCCATTACATGTTTGCCGATAGCAACAGGGAAGGCTTTATGTTTCCTGAGACGGGCAGTACGAGGGAGCAGGGAAGATCGCTCTCTTTGAGAAGAACCTACAGAGCGAGAAACAGATCTAACAGATTACAACCATATGGGGTAGTAAAATACAGGTACAGATTAGTAGAGAGTACAGGAGAGCAAAGCAAAATTCTGTTTTTCCTGAGAGTCTTACTATAAACTCTCTAATCACCAATGTCATTAAAAAAGCAGCTTTTTAAATTCTGCTCTGAGAGGGATGAACAACAGAGAGAAAATGAAAATGATCTGAGGCCATCCTGCCAAACAGCCGCTTACTGGCTTCATGAAGAGCCTGCAGGAGACTGCTGCTGTGGACAATAATATGGAAAACACATCAGTAGTAGAGAAGATATCGACTTGTCCTGGCAAAGAGAGGATGAGTCACTTGATGATAGCCACTGAATCGTGAAACTATTAGAATGGCCTCACAGTATTTGGGCAAAATCTTGTGTATTTTTCTATGTTTCTGCGAAGGGTAAATCACAACTCTGCCCCCCTGTTTTTGAGCAGAATCAGCAAGTTCTTCAGTAACGTGGTTCAACATCGATATGCAAACTGATGCTTCTAGAGCACTTGAATGAAATTCACGTGGTCGTGAGTGTCAGAGTGGACATTGAGGTACTCATTGTGTGAGAGAGAACAAATACATCCTATTGATGAGCATGGAGCCGAGCTGTTGCTGGGCATGAGCAGGCTGGGCTGACAGAAAGCAAGCTCCAGCACAAGGTTGAGATTATTACAAAATTTCAGTCAGTTCACTTCTTTTTGCACTCTTTCATAGATAAAGATAGATTTCTATTCATATTTGTTAGGAGGGAAGGTCTTTCAGTGCTTTCAGGTTTTTTTTCTTTTATAGTGAATGACCCCCACCAAACAAAGGAGAGGCTGACCCCGGGGCATGTAAAGTTAGAGGAGTGCTCTCTGCCCTCGCTAAAGCTTCTCAGACTTATCTCATCTTAGCTGCAGTGGCTGGAAACTGAGATAACTCTCTATGTGAATGCAATTAAATCAGCTGTAAAACACTACAGCAAGCTTTTGAAAAGTGATGACACATCCTGCCATAAATGAAAGTTGAATTTGTTGGTACATAGTCCCAGTTATCTGCCTGGAAACATTACGACCAATATGACGGCATCTGCTCTGAGAGAGAAGTGACTACAGCGTTCTTCCTTTAAAATGACATATTAGATTTTCTCATATGTACTATAAAAGGAAACACTATGGGATATGAAGAAGTTCCCAATTAGCTGCTATGTTTGTTATCTAGTGACCATCAAAATGTTCTTTTCCGGAAATATTTTTACATAATGAAACTAAAGCTGCCCTCTTTCCTTATCAACCCCCTTCCCAGAAGTGCTGAGGATATACTTCTTTCTTGCCAACTTAATTTCTTTGAAATCCCTGAAATCAGCAACCACTGCAGCTTATCACTTAATTCCCTCCTCATGCAGGCAGACTATAATGATAGTGCTTCACAGACATTACTCACTTCTCATGACAGAGAGGAGAGCTCGGGGTGAGACTGTCCATCTAGAGATGACAACTTCACAATTACCCAATTATTGAAAGATTATACTTATCATCTCTTAGTCATGTCTGGGATGAATACCACTGAGGCCTCAGGAAATGCATGTGTGCTTATGTGTTGAACAAGAGAGAAGTGAATCTCACTGCTGGTCAGAATTTACATGCAGTTTAGACTGTATTTGCTGCGTTCTGTGTGGGCCACACAACGTCTCATAATTAACTCTGTTTTTTTCTTCCCCATGACACCACAGGAGTGGCTGGTACTTTATATATCAGAGGCAGATTTCCTGCTAATGAGATGACTTGGCTCCAGGTCACAGTGGCCTAATGAGCATTTCTATCTGGGCTCATCGTCGTGGTGCGCATTGTTTTTGGGTCAGTGAAGAAGATCATATCAGAGAGTATTCATCCTTGTGTCTGCTTCTCTTGAAGAAGTGGGAAGTGAGCTGGGGATATTTCCTGGGGCAAGATGGTGACTGATGACACCATATGAGAGTGATAAATTAGGCATTTGTGGAAGTGAGAATCCCGCTTAAATTTGGGCCTGTTTGTTTATGTATCCTGTCACATGCTCAGACCTCACTTCTGTTTTTTATTCATATTGAAAGTCCTATGCAGAATGTTTTAATGCAATAGAAAAGGTTAAAGTAATATTGTAAAATAGAATACTAATAAACCACATTGTAAAATAGTTACATTTTGATGAGTGGCAGAGATGTTTTCAACACTTGATTCTGACAGACAGTCCCTCCACCACAGCACTCATAATCCAGTTTAATCCAAAACAAATGGATCAGCCATCAGTTGTGACCAGCACCATATGACCATCAAACGACCAAAGAAATTGTCATTTTTTAATTGGATTCCAAATTAAAAAACAAAAAAACAACACAACTCAACTAACTGATAGGTCATTCTTTAAAAAGGTTTGTGCTTATGCATAATTTGTTCAAACTAGCTTCTGAAAGTAAAAGGAGCTAAACAAGACAACAAAGACAAATTATTTAAACCAGCTCGCTTTCTTGTCGATAGATGGATTTTAATCCAAGCTTACATGCCCGTGTTCACCAAAGGCCGGTTAGAGTTTGGGTTTCCAGGCCAGCTGCCTGGACATGCTGTAAGGTAAAACTCTGTTGATTCATTTTTGTGTACTCTTATTGGCTGTGTTTTGTGCTAGCTAATAGGTCTTAACAGCAGTCATCCTTAGGCTATAGGATAATAAAATGGGCCTACATACAAATTTCTAGAAAAAAAGTATTTTCCAATCA